CAAGGGCATGTACCTTGGTTGCGGGCATATCCCTGGAGGGGGGTGTGCAAGAGGCAGCTGATTGATGACTCTCTCTCATCGATGTTTCTAACTCTCTATCTCTCTCCCTTCCTCTCTGTACAAAATCAATAAAATATATTTTAAAAAAATTATGAACAACAAATAGATATCTATCAACAAATGAATCTAAAGATCAAGGGAATAAAAAATCTGATGAACAGAATATACTGGTGAATATAATAGAATCAGGGGCATAGAAAGGGAATGAACTGACAATTCTCTGGGGGAAAGGGGAGTGGGGGGTGTTGGAAGAGACTGAACAAAAATATACACATATGGATTAGGACAGTTTGCGAGGGGGGATAAGGGCATAGGGTGGGGAGGAAACTTGGTGGAGGGGAGCTGTGTGTGGGGAAAAAAAGGAACAACTATAATATAATAATCTGAACAATAAAGATTTATTTTAAAAAATAAAAATAAACTTAAAAAAAAGAAAAATCATCTAAATCGTGAAAATTGCCAAAAAGTTATTCATGATATCCCCTTATTATCCTTTTAATTTTTGTAGGATCTGTATTTATGTCACCTCTGTTATTCTGGATAATTGGCAATTTGTATCTTGTTTCTTTTTTCTCTAATGACCTAGCTACAGGTTTATCAATTATATTGATTTCTCAAAGAACCTGGTTCACTGATTTTCTTTTCTTTTTTAAATATATTTTATTGATTTTTGTACAGAGAGGAAGGGAGAGAGATAGTTAGAAACATCAATGAGAGAGAGTCATCGATCAGCTGCCTCTTGCACACCCCCCTCCGGGGATATGCTCGCAACCAAGGTACATGCCCTTGACCGGAATCGAACCTGGGACTCTTCAGTCCCCAAGCCGACGCTCTACCTCTGAGCCAAACCGGTCCTGGCTGATTTTCTTTTTGTTTTGTTTTCTATTCATTGATTTCTGCTCTAATCTTTATTATTTTGTGTCTTCCTTTTTTTTTTTTTTTTTTTTTGTTTCTTAAGGTTATTGACTTAAGACTTTTTTCTTTTTTTAAATATATATATATGTGTATATATATATATATATATATATATATATACATATATATATATATTTTTAATTGATTTTTTACAGAGAGGAAGGGAGAGAGATAGAGAGCCAGAAACGTCGATGACAGAGAAACATCGACCAGCTGCCTCTTGCACACCCCCTAACGGGGATGTGCCCACAACCAATGTACATGCCCTTGACCGGAATCGAACCTGGGACCTTTCAGTCCGCAGACCGACGCTCTACCGCTGAGCCAAACCGGTTTCGGCAAGACTTTTCTCTAACATGGATATTCATTGTTATTAATTTCTCATAAGAGCTGTTCTAAATGCATCTCACAAATTTGGGTATTTTTTGTTATCACTCAGTTAAAAATACTTTCTGCTTTCACTTTTGATTCATTTTTTGACCCATGTACATCACTAATTTCCAAACATTGGAGACTTTACAGATATAGTTTCATTGATTTCTAATTTAATTCACTTGTGTCCAAACAACATACTTTGCATGATTTGAGTCTTTTAAACCTACCAAGGCTTGTTTAGTGGCCCCAAATATAGTTAACCTTGACAGACTGTTCTTTGTATACTTGGTAAGAATTGTATTCTGCTATTGTTGAGTAGAGTATCAACTAGGTCAAGTTGGTTGATTGGGTTGTTCATGTCCCCTATGTCTACTGGTTTTCTGTAGAGAAAGGGATGCTGAAATATCCTACTTTGAGAATCTATCTCTCATTGATTCCATTGATTTTTGTTTCACATACTCTGAAACTTTGCTATTTTGAATAGGATGTGAGAAACCAAGAGAAAGTTTTGAGGCATTTAAGTATCTAAAGTGGGGGTTAAAGGGGGGACGTGCACAGGGAACCAGGTTATACAAGTTATGGATAGGTAAACAACAGACCTCAGGATTATGTTAATTAGAGGAGTATAGGGAACACCTGGCCCACATGCTAGCTCTAACTAGAGTGATTTTTTTTTTTTTTTTGAGGTGTTGCTGCCTAGAGACTAATAGCTCCATCTAGGTTGTGATACTTATTTCATTCAAAGTATTGTGCATCCAGGATAAAGAATCAAAGGAGTTATCGAATTTTTTAGGGTGAACCATTAGGAGCTGTTGACATTAGCCTTTGACTTACAAAAATGTCAAGGATGTTTGTTCATTGTAGTATTTATTGTTCAGAGTAGTGAAACACTGGGAGTTATCTAGATGTTTTTCATCATGTTCAGAACAGTGAAAAATCTAAATGTCAAACTACAAATCATGTCACATCCATATGTAGAATTAAAATTGTTTTGGGAGGTTTCTTAATAACTTTCTCCCTTTGTGTCCTCATCCAGTTTTATGACAATAAATTCCATCTATAAATACTGGCAACTCCCAAATTTATATCTGAAGTCCAATTGATCACAAAATCCAGATTCAGACATTCAATTACCTGTTCACTATTTCCATTTGGATATCTAATCAATATATGAAATTTACAGTATCCAAACCTGAACTCCTATCTCCAAAGCCTTTCCTCCCCACATTCTTACTCATCTCAGTTCATGGAAATTCTAGCTTCTTTCTTCCAGTTGTTCAGGTCAGAACCCTTGGAGTCATTCTTGATTCTTCAATAGTCTCTCACCTTCAATCCATCAGGAAATCTCTTGCTTTAGCTTCAGAATATACTCAGAACCCAGCACCTTTCATCACCTTTATTGCTACCACTGTGGTCTTTCCCCGAGATGGCAAATGCCTCCTGACCTTAACAGCAGTTAATCAAGACTTTCAATTAGTATTATATTTTATTTTCTTTAGATTTTTATTGATTTCAGAGAAGGAAAAGGGACATAGAAATATTACAATGAAAGAGAATCACTGATTGATTTCCTCCTGCACACTCACACTGGGGATGGAGCCCATAACCTGGGCATGTGCCTGACCGGGAATCAAACCATGACCTCCTGGTTCACAGGTCAATGCTCAACCACTGAAGCATAACAGCTGGGCTAAAGTCAGTATTTTAAAAGGCCATGATGTCAACTTGATACAAATGAACATGGCAGACAATCTGCTGTAAACTACTGCTTCACAAAGTATGGACACATGTGCTCTATCTTATCATCTTTTCCACCTGCATTTTTGTGCCTCTCCTCTGCTTCCTCCTAACTGAAAATAAGGAGCTGAATAGTTGGGCAGTTACAAATGTACTAGAGGCCTGGTGCATGGGTGGGGTCCCTTGGCCTGGCCAGTGATCGGGGGCCAATTAGGGCAGAGGGAGGTTGGCCAGCGGGGGAGGGGCTGTGGGAGGCTGGCTGTGGGAATGCAGACCACCAGGGGGCAGCTCCTGTGTTGAGCACCTGCCCCCTAGTGGTCAGCGCACATCATAGCAACAGGTCAACCTGTCGTTCAGTTGTGTAGGCTTTTATGTATATAGATTGCCTTTCATCTCCAAATCTACCCTTGATTGCGTGCTCTGCAACATGGAGCAAGACCCTCTTGTGAACATTTCTCCTTTGCCAGCTGGCAAAACTGTCAGTAGACTGCACTGCAGAAACACTGGAGGAGGGTTTCTTTTCCTGGTTCAGCTCTGCTCCTCTCTGCCAGCTCCTGCAATGAGCAGGGCCTTACTCTCTTGCTACTCAGCAGCTAACCTCACACTGCACCCCCTTGGGTGGCTCTGGAGTGGGTTTTACTGGTACAGCACTTCTCCATGGACATCTTCCCTAGCATCCCCAGCCCCCTCCAGTGGCTTCCCAGCAAATCCCAGGGTATGGCACCTCCCAGATGCTCCTCTAGCTCTTGGAGGCAGATTCCAAACAAGTGCCAGCAGTAAGCCGAAACCAGTTTGGCTCAGTGATAGAGCGTCGGTCTGCGGACTGAAAGGCCCCGGGGTTTGATTCCGGTCAAGGGCATGTACCTGGGTTGCGGGCACATCTCCAGTAGGGGGTGTGCAAGAGGCAGCTGGTGGATGTTTCTCTCTCATCAACGTTTCTAGCTCTCTATCTCTCTCCCTTCCTCTCTGTAAAAAATCAATAAAACATATTAAAAAAAAAAAAAAAGTGCCGGCAGTGCAGCATCTTGTCACTTCTTTGCCGTCCAGTGGACCAGGGTGGCAACTGCTTTAATAAAGCTGCTCTCAGCCCGAGGGCAAGGCAACTCTTCATTCATCTCCCTCAGGCCTCGGGTTAGTGGGTGCTCCCCATATATGCAGTTTTTATATTTTCAGCATTCTTTTAAAAAAATATTTTTATTAATTTCAGAGAGAGGAAGGGAGAAGGTAGAGATAGAAACATAAGTGAGAATCACTGATCACCTGCCCCCTGCACGCCCCAGATCAAGCCTGCAACCTGGGCATGTGCCCTTGACTAGAATTGAATCTGGGACCCTTCAGTCCACAGGCTGATGCTCTATCCATACAGCCAAACCAGCGAGGGGTCAGCATTCTTTTTTTTTTTTATCACTTATTAGCAAGTCACTCATTATTCCAATATCTTGTTATAATTTTGATGGTTAATTTTATGTGTCAGCTTGACTGGGCCATGGTGCCAGATACTTGGTTAAACATTATTCTGAATGTTTTTATAAAGTGCTGTTGTTTTTTCAGTGGGGTTAACATTTATACTGGTGGATTTAGAGTACAGCAGATTACTCTCCATAATGTGGGTGGGCCTCATCCAAACAGTTGAAGGCATTCATAAAACCAAGATTGAGCTTCTCTGAGCAAGAAGAAATTCTGCCAACAGACTGCCTTTGGACTTGAACTGCATCTCTCCCAAGGGGTCTCCAACCTGCCTACCAGATAGATTTTGGATTACTAAGCCTCCACAATCGCCTGAGTGATTTCCTTAAAAATTAATCTCTTCATGTTTGCACACATATCCTACTGGTTCTGTTTCTGTGAAGAACTCCAATACACTTGCTCTGTTAAACAGTTTTAAGATTCTATAATAAAAAAACAGGACAAAGTATCAATCCCACAGTTTTATTTGTAAAGAACAAAGCATGAAAAGTCATATTTAAATGTACTCCAAAACCTGAAAAACCCACGTCAGTTTCTCTGATATGTATGCTAAAGTGCTTGATATCACAATACTGTTCAAATTTTATATTATGTTCAGATGAGGGGGGAGGAAAAATCCAGTTCTGATGCATTTTGTTAACAAACACAAGGAAAAACAATATAACTTAAATGCAGAAAGGCTCGTTTGTTAAAAAACATACACAGGTACATTTATACATGGTTCCAGTGTAACACAGAGAGCTTTTTCCACGTGTTAAACACCTCCCGCTGATTGACAGCAGGAAGTCCTTACCAAGCCTCTCTGTCAAGACGTGGTTTTTGGAATAAAGACCGGAGCCATACATAATACATTCAGGTAACAGAACCAAGCTTTATTCCCTCCCAGATAACCCAAGGATACCCTGGATTCCTTCAAATGAGGGGATTTTTTTTTTCTTCTTTTTCCCCAAAGGAGAGGAAATCTTTTGATGATATTTTTCTGGTTTAATTGCTCAATGTGATATTTTTTTCTGGATCCAATCTCTATTTTGCCCTTGCGAGGACCAATGGTTCTAGTAAGATCTGAAGGGATGAGGTTCTCCTTGGATTCCTCCAATCACAGTCCAACGCCCTCTTCAAAAAGCGTGGAAATCAGTTCAAGAAATTTATATATAGGAATGAAGGGCTGAATAGCTCATTATTTGTTTCTGTCTTCTTTCAAGCTAAATGGAAACGTAATAAATACTTACATAGGAAACAGGGATTTCGAAAGACACAGACGACCCGGAAACGGGGATTCGCGTTATAAAAAGCTGAGAGGAGCGGAAGACCCCAGTCTCCTCCGTGAAGGTTCCAACACTGAAATCTAAACAGCGAAGGTCCAGACTGTCCTTGCCGCGCAGTGAAAAGGAGCAACTAGTTTCTGTAAACCTCACAGAGAAAATACTCACAGTTCTCAAAATAAAAATCTTCTGAAAAGCCACAATTCTCAGCAGAAGGAGATTCCGTTACTAAGCGCTATCCTCCCAGCACCGGTCAAATAAATACTTCCCTGGGGATCGGAGGCCCTCGTCTGTTTGCCTCATGTTTCAAAATAGCTTAGCGGTGTCAACATACTCTACACACCAACTGTTATGCACACTCTACCCCTCTCTCACTCGCATCTATACACATCAGTGATTTATTGCCAAAAAAGGAAACAGAAGCAATTCAGCGTTTCCCCTGTGCCGTTCACAGAGGGTGACAGAATTCCTGAAAGTGACTTTTGAAAAAGCCATGTGAAAGTAAATACCACAGGGTTACTACAAAAGGTACAAACATTTCTGGAAACATGGAAAGCACATGTTAGAGGGAAATCGCAAACTTCTGCAAGTTTTGGGCTGCTTAGATCGAAGTCTTGCCCCCAGCGGGAAGTGGCCGGGGAGGCGTTGCTTCTTGGTGGCCTGCTTCCCACCACCCAGATCCCACTTGAACCCCCAGGTACTGTGCCTCTGTCACTGCTGAGGTGCTGCTGGGCCCGGAGAGCGCACAGCTGCAGGAACTCACACCGGGGTAATGCTCCTGGGTCTCAAAGGCTGAGGTGAGAAGTTTCAGGATACTTGAAAAAAATGTTTCAAGAGCTGATATTTTTGGCAATTTAATGTTAAAACAATTTCTTTTTAAGCTATTATGCAAAAATACTAATTATGGTTCCAGACATTAATTTTAACTTATTTTGGGGGGGAGGAAGTCAATGACAAAATTAATTTTTATTTACTTTTACTTTGAGGTGTCACTATAAAGTAATATACTGATCTTAAAAATAAACAGAAAGGATAGCTCTAAATGGATATAGTCCTTGCAAGCCAGCTTGTGAGGCTATGCACATTTATTCTCAAGATTCTGCCGTTCTCCTGCTCAAAATAATTCGGTATTGGCTCAGACAATTATAAGCCACATAAGAACTAAATCTTATTTCTTTAGAGTTGTGTGTTTTTTTCTTTTTCTTTTCTTTAAGTGGTTTTTAAAATTGATTTCAAAGAGAAAGGGAGAAACATAAATGGTGAATCATTGATTGGCTGCCTCCTGCATGCCCCCCACTGGGGATCAAGCCCAAAATCTCGGGGCAGGTGCCCTGCCTGGAATGGGACGTGACCTCATGGTTTGTAGGTCTATGCTCAGCTCCCGAACCAACCCAACTGGGCTGGAGTTGTGTTTCTTATGTGACAAACTCTGCTCACATCCTTTTATTCATTAACTTGGATCCTATGGGTTGCAGGCCTCTCAAGCAGCTCCTCCAGGGGCCCCCGTGTGCCTGGAGCATTGGCTGTCCCCCTGAATTCAGACAGATGGGCTCCCCAGGTGACCACTTTCAAGGGCCTAGTATTGTAGGGGGCGTCTCTCTCTCTCTCTCTCTCTCTCTCTCTCTCTCTCTCTCTCTCTCTCTCTCTCTCTCTCTCTCTGCACTGGTCATTGCACTGCTCTGGTCCTGCTACACAGAGCAGGACAGGACTTTAGGTAGAATTCCCCTGGGGCATTCCCTTTTGAAGTAATGGTTTTATTCATGTACCCCCAAATCCAGCGTTCTCCCCGTTTTCACAACAACGTGTGAACTGTTTGTTACAATGAGTATTAATCCCTGTAAATGAGTACCAGGCATGAATATGAATCCCAGTTCCTATCTGTGTCAGGGAAGGCATGAAGCTCCAGGGTGGAGAGACTGCTCAGATGAATGCTGAGGCCAGGCCCCTGCAGCCTGGTGTGATTAAAAAACCCGAGCCCTGGACCCTGTGTTATCGCTGCCCAGCTGTGGGAGTGTGTAATCTCTCTAATCCTTAAGTGTTCCCATCTACAAAATGAGACGGCCGGACTAGATGACTCAATCAGCTCCTCAGCCGCCCTGGTTGCCCCGAGTGCGTCAGAAGCATGGCCTCATGGGAAAGGGAGGAGGAACACCCCCCCCACCCCCCCCCCATGGCTCAGCATGTGGCTTCTGATCCCCAAAACGCAGCCTGAGCCTGGTGCCAGCAGGTTAAGGATGTCTCTCCCATTGAAGAATTTCCTTGTCCCTGAACAGCCACACCCCCAGACACACGTTAGCCTCAGGCAAGCGAATCTCTGGGGCCCAAGTCACCCAGAACCATCTTCTTAACCCCTTTCCATGGGTTTCTAGATGCTTCCACCCCCCTTTCCTCCCTGAGAACTAAGCCACATATCCCAGGAATGGGCCTCGCTGCCCGGCTGTCTGTCATAAAGGGAGGGAGGCACTGGCTTCATTCATTTCTCCCGCCAGGAAGGGAAGGAGACAACACTGCGGGCTCCAGCGGGGACCCTCAGACCACAGGGTCTTGGGGGCCACGGCTCCACGTCTCAGCCATAACGGGGAGCACTACTGGAGCTCTGAGAGCACTGTCACGGCCAGCAGTGTGCAGGCGCTCACAGGGCGACAGGGCCTGACCCGTGAGGAAGGCCCAAGGCGACCAGCTCACACCATGTCTGTCTGCCTGCCGATGGGACACCTCTCTGGTCTCTCAAAACGGCCGCCTCTGGTTCTGGGTGCATTCTGCCCCCTGTGCCCGCTGGCTTTTCACCTCCGCTGGGCCAGCTGTTTCATGTGAGCAGGCCTCTCACAAAGCAGCAGAAAACCTGCCCTGCAACACCCAGAAAGGGGCCATTCTTTCTCTCTCCTGTTATTTGCATTATCTCGGTCAACAAATACTTTTCACAAAAACATTCCAAGCCACACTGAGCCCTCCTCCTTCTCAGACATTCCTTCCATTTCCTGAGAGGGGGCTGGGCACCCAGGAGGGGAGAGGAGGGGAGGGGAGGGGGCGAGGGGAGCCAAACAAAGACGGGCTTAAGGGGGTCCCTCCCTCCCTCCGAGGTGAGGGACCACTGACGGGCTCCCAGGGCCAAATAGAAAGCGCAGGATCAAACGCCCGGTTTGCCGTTATTATGACGGTGACATCTGCTCAAAGTACCTCCAATAACATGAATAAAAATGCTAGGAATGAAGTCGGTCTAGGCTAATCTTTCCGCAGAGTAAAGGTTATAATCCCACCATTTAACACACTTCTTGGGCCTTTGTGTGCTGTCTACCCAGTTAAGCCAAGCTCCTAGGGTTCCGTATTTAAAGTATTTGATTTGTATCTTCATCTTCTGCCTAAGGGAGGGTGGGGGGAACTGCCCAAAAGAATGGAAAAGTGACTCAATTCCCACGTATGAAACCATTTGCAACTTAAAAGATACAAGTGCAACCTGGCTGGTGTGGCTCAGTGGTTGAGCATCGACCCATGAACCAGAAGGTCGCAGGCTTGATTCCCAGTCGGGGAGCTGGATCCCCAGTGGGCAGAGCTGTTTACATTCAGAACACAAAGAATCAGACCCCAGGATGGATGGCCACACACTGCAATGCCTTCTGGGCTGCACGGTACCTACACGCGTACTGGCTTCTCCCTGAAGAGCACCGCTCCCCGAAACTCCCAATGCCTTTAAGCTACTTATTTTAAATCACAGGAATATTCAATATAGGAAAAGTATCTTATTAGAGTAATATAATTTCTTAGAGAAGATAGCCTATTTACACACATCTAACACATGAAAATACTCTATTTTATACTAAATTCCTGGTTCAAATGAACTACAATACAGCGTTTTGCCTTGTCTGCGGCGTGAGGACTGTTCCAATCGGGGCATACGGTGCACGGCCCCTGCAGGACTCGCGGCCGCGCCAGACAAGCCCATGTCGGTCCGTAGACGGGGTGGTTAGGGAGCCAGGGGTCGGGACGGAGAGCTGCTGCCCGGGTTACACGTCCACGCCTTTGATGAGCGACCCCTCTAGGACAAAGGTGAAGTCCTGGATGGTCTGCAGGATGCGGATGAGGGAGTTGACGGTCATGCGGTCCCGCAGGAGGGCGCTCTCTTCGTACATCCGGGTGATGGCAGGGCACTCAGCCAACAGCGGGATCCACTGGGGGAGCAGGCGGTCCCTGCGGCCCAAACAGAAACAGCCTGAGCGCCGCTGCCTCGGGGCGGAGCGCAGCGCATGCCGGAGCTCGCACCCGGAAGGGGTGGGGCTGGTGGAGCTCCGGGGTCAGCTGAGAGGCCACTCAGGTCCAGAAGCTGGATCTTTCCTGGTGCAGAGGCTGCGGGAGCAGGCAGTGCAGCCTGACGGGAAGACCCATCAGAGCCGAACAGGAGGCCATGCGGGCCATGAGGATTTCCACACATTAAGGAAATTCTCCTTTCCTATTTCACCACTTTTAGAAAGAGGCAGGATGTAATTATATATATATATATACACACACACACATACACATACATATACATATACATATACATATATATATATATGTGTGTGTGTGTATACATATATATATGTTGAAAAACAAAACCAAAACAAGCAAATCCCTGATTTATATCTTCATCTTCTGCCTAAGGGGGGTGGGGGGAACTGCCCAAAAGAATGGAAAAGTGACTCAATTCCTACGTATGAAACCATTTGCAACTTAAAAGATACAAGTGCAACCTGGCTGGTATGGCTCAGTGGTTGAGCATCGACCCATGAACCAGAAGGTTGCAGGTTTGATTCCCAGTTGGGGAGCTGGATCCCCAGTGGGCAGATTTTTTTTTTTTTTTTTTAAATCTGAGTAACTTTAAATATATATATATATATATATTCTATTGATTTTTTACAGAGAGGAAGGGAGAGGGATAGAGAGTTAGAAACACTGATGAGAGAGAATCATCAATCAGCTGCCTCCTACACACCCCCTACTGGGGATGTGCCAGCAACCAAGGTACATGCCCTTGACTGGAATTGAACCCAGGACCCTTCAGTCCGCAGGCTGACTCTCTATCCACTGAACCAAAGCGGGTTTGGCTATATATATATATATATATATATATATATATATATATATATATATATTTTTTTTTTTTTTTTTTTTTTTTTACAGGGTGCTAGACATCTGTGGCAAGGCATGCCAAAGCAGATGGACTTTTTGGGAGGGAAGCCTACATTCAATAGCAGGGATTTGCTTGTTTTGGTTTTGTTTTTCAACTTATTCAACGTAATAAAGAACAAAATCAAAGCAGAACATTAAGTAGATTCTATAAACCAAAAGAGAGGTGGCATTGGCCTAATAAATCAGAACAGTGAAGAGATAAAAGGAGATAAAGATCGTGTTCAAAAGGAACTTTAAAAGCTCAGTTGAACATGGGCCCCTTTTGTTAAGAAATTCAGAGCTTAGTTTCTACAAGCCAGCCGAAGTCTCAGCTACAATGTTTCCTGATTAAACTCGACACTGATCACCGGTCCCCAGGTACCTAAGACATCCTTACTAAGCACCTCCCAAGGCCTTTTGCGACAAGGACAGCCCTAACTAGACCATCCTGCACCTCTTCTTGAGCCTCCAGGGGTTTATTTTTTATTTTTATTTTTTAAACTATGCTTTATTGATTTTTAGAGAGAGAGAGGAAGGGAGAGTTATAGGGAGACAGAAACAGCGATGAAAGAAAAACATTATCCATCAGCTGCCTCCTGCACCCTCTACTGGGTACGAGCCCAAAACCAAAACCCAGCAAGTGCCTCAACTGGGAATCGAACCAGAAACCTCTTAGTTAATGGGGCAAGGTTCAACCACCAAGTCACACCAGCCGAGCAGGATTCCAGCGGTTTAGAAGAAAGCACACATTGCACACAAAGAACTTCTAAAGGTCTCTGTGTTTCATTTCCTACAATTATGAGAGCTGTTTTAAAATGAATGAGCTGTACAGCTCCTATATGCCATTTTTAAGAAATAAAGGGGTAGGAGAAGACTATATAGTAAGAATTTGCAATGTTCTTAAATTTAATATGTTGGTGTATATACACTATACAAGCTCTAGACAGTACATGTATATGTGTGTATGCGCCAGTATGTCTAATAATCTGCCAACATACCTGTAACTATTTCCTATCTTTGGATACTCTTTACCTGTAACTATTTACCTATCTTTGGAGCGAGAGGAGTGTATGGTTGAGACCCTAGGCTCTAGAGTGAAATGACGTGAATCTTGGCTTCACTTCTTCCTGTGTGTGATCTTGGGAAAATCTGCTATCTATGTTTCATCTATTTTCTCATCTACAGAATGGGATACTGGTTGCTACTTCAAGTGCTGGTGGTGGAGAACAGCAGGAGGATTCAGTGAGATACTCTATGTAAAGTATACTTAGCAGAGTGCTTTACCCAACACAGGGCAAGAACCCCATAAACAGTGTTCTCATCATGAACCTGGGAATGAGAGAGCTTTGGAAGGGGCAGGACCTGGTTTAACCCTTTCTGGACTCCTGTTTGACGCGTAACAGAGACAGGGAAAGTCAAAGACTGGCTTCATACCGTGTTCCGAGGCAGACTAAGATCTGGAACTTGCCGTCCTTCCCGATGTTCCTGGGTGCGGTGTTAATAGCGTTGACGTAATGGCAGAAGGTTTTGCAGGAGGGCTTCTGGAGGAGGACATCATCTTCGTTGTCTAGAATCTGGTCAGTGGTTTCAAAATAAGCGACCGCTTTCTCTGGGGAAGGAAGTCAGGGTCACATCACAATACACATCTGCACTTTGTAACAGAAAGGCCAATCCACCAGATTCACCTGGAAATGCTAACGGCGCTTTGCATCAGAGCCAGCCCTGGAACCCAAATCACCATTTTACCATTGGTTTCACGGTGAAGTCTGGTGGTCCATGTTTCAGGAATGTGCTCCCAGGGGGTTATTTTCTAATCTAGGTTGCATTCTGGAAGGCTGGGAAAAGTTACCCTCTTAGGAATAGCTGCTTGAAATGGAAATTGGCAAGAGAAAGAAAAATAAAAACAGACTCCTCTGTTGACTGGAACCTTCCAGGAGTAAACAGCAAAGACATGGTAGCCTGGGATGGGGCCCCGGTTCCAGCTGTGGAATGCCAGGCTTACGCTGCAACACAGTTCTGACGTGGAACTAAACCAGTAACCTGGGGAAAGAGGTATGTGTACACATGTCAGAAGCAGGAGCCATATGCCAGGCATTCTAGATGGGAGAGAAAAAAAAAAATCACTCCTGGGGGCCTAATCTGCCAACTTTCCTTTCTTTGTCCAAAAACTCTAAATTAGATGAAATCAACTAGGCCTTATGTACAAAACTCGAATGATTAATCACCCCTGTAAAGAAACTGGGAATTCTAGAAGAGCTGCATACCAAAATAAAGGCGACCATGCTCAGCAAGGTGGTGCAGACGCTGGAGGGGGCTGTGCCTGCGAAAGGCTCCCCGTCTGTGAGGGCCCACTAGCAGCTGCAGGAGGGCTGGGCGACGGAGGAAGTGCATTTTAAATGTCAAGGAGGTCAATTTTAATTTAAGTGGGCACCTGTGTCCAATGGCTACCACTTTGGACAGCACAGAGCTGGAGCCATCCTTTTCAAACGCCTCACTCCTTGTATCCAAACCTCCCCAGTAACTTCCATTTTGTTCAGGGTAAAAACCAAAGTCCCCCTAAAGTCTCCCCCTCACAAACTGCCTCTTGCAGTAAATACCTCTTCCCCCCAAATCCTGTCTCTCCCCTCCACATGACGGCTGGGCGCACCCCTGCCTGGGGGAGGGGGGGGCCGCCCGCCCTGGTCCCTCTCTCAGCTGAGAGCCCTCCTCCCAGGATGCTCAGGGCTCACGTGGGCACTCCCTGGAAGTCTTTGTTCAAATGTCACCTTGTCAACAAAGCCTATACCTACCCCTTTAAAAGAGCACTCAACACTCCATTTCCTCTTACCTGGTTCTATTTTTTTCTAGACCAACCATCAGCTCACGTAATAGATGAATTGCATATTTATTACTTTGTTGCTTTGTATCATTTGTCCTCCCTGCCCCCACCAGAATGTAAGTTTATCAACCACAGGAATTTTCGTGCCAGTTGTTATATCTTTTGGTTGTTAATCCTCATCTGAGGATATTTTCCCCCCATTGGTTTTTAGAGAGTGGAAGGGAGGGAGAGAGACAGTGAGAGGGAGAGGAACATCATGTGAGAGACACATACTGATTGGTTGCCTCCTGCAGGCACCCTGACCCAGGCCCCAAGATTGAACCTGCAATCAACGTGCGGGAATTGAACCCAAGACCCTTCAGTCCATGAGCCCACGCTCTATCACTAAGCCAAACTGGCTAGGGCTAGTTATATCTTGACACATATAGTATATCTTGAGGATCTAGAATAGCGTTTGGAATTTGGTGGGCACTATAAATATTTGCTGACTGAATGAAAAGCAAGAACAGTGCTTATTTGATATTAAAACAAACAAACAAACAAAAACAACCATACTCCCTTTAAAATGAGCCCTGATTTTCCCAGTTCCTGGATCTCTGAGTTTTCCGAGAAGCATTTCCATGACCTCACACGGGCATCACCAGCCGGAACGTACCTATGAAGTCCCAGATGAAGACGTTCTTGTGGAAGATGCGGGCGGACTTGAAGCCGTGGTGGAACACCTGCTCCAGCGCCGCCACCAGGCCGCTCTCCCCGCACAGCAGCACCGTGAGGCTCCCCCTCTGCGGACACACACAGGCCAGAGCGTGACCGGCTGGCCTTCCTTTGGGAACCGCGTGGGGAGGCGGGCGAGGAAGCACGGGGCGGTGGCGGCAGCCATCGGAAAGCCGGCGAAGGAAAACCAGAGCGCTTGGTATTGCCTTACGTATCGTGCGTAAAAGCGGCTCTAAAGTCCTACTAGGCTAAGTTTTACAGCTCATCGTACCTCTTTCTCAGGCTTGTGGAAATGTTTCACGATGTTGTTCACAGCCTCTCCGATCCCTTCCTGGATCTGTCCAGCATTGGGCTCTGAAACACAATGGACAGTGGCCGAATGCTCACGCGAGGGAAATAAACTGAAGTGCTACGGGGCATCCACTGTGCCCGCCTATGCAGGAAGCTCCATCAGACCTGCCCCAGGCCAGTCTGGCCAGGTGAGAGGCATCTTGGCACAATGGAAAAGAACCCGAGAGACCCCTACATTCAAATCCCAGCCTTACCACGTGTAATCTATAACCCTGGTCAAATGTCTTCAGTCTAATGGGGAAAATACTCAACATACACATCCCGCACACACGTGTCACCGGGAATGAGGTATTAGGTGTAAACTGCCTGACTCGGCGATTTACTCTGAGGAGGGAGACTGGGGACACCCACAGCTCATTCCTCAGGAACCCCACCCTGTACCCCGCCTTCCTCCGCACTCCTTAGTGGTCGCAGACCGAGGCCACTGAGGTTCTCGGGCTGACCTGGAATTTGTGGTTTTTGCTGCTGTGTTTAAAGTAAAGGGAAGAGACCAGGTATACTGTGCGCTCTGCCAGAACCGCTTCCCTTCCTGGCCACACACCGCTTCCTCCCCGGCCAGCACTTGCTCGGCTAGGCCCGGAGGGCGGGCGGGCTTGGCGGGCTGTGTGAGTGGCCTCTGAACCGCCTCTGCCTCTCAAACCCCAGGAATGGGAAAAATAAAAAAGTGATAAACAGGTTTCGTCCAGAGATAGGAGTCAGTAACAAGAGGAAAATGATGGATTTGGTATTTTCTTGTGGTAAATTAACTACTGTATGGATTTTACATGTCACACAATAAAGGACAAACCATACATTCTAGTTTTTAAGAATCTCTAAATTTACATTTAGTTAACAAGGAAGTTTTTTTCTACACCAATAAATAAAAATGGTAAAAATGGCCGAAACCGGTTTGGCTCAGTGGTAGAGCGTCAGTCTGCGGACTGAAAGGTCCCGGGTTCGATTCCGGTCAAGGGCATGTACCTTGGTTGCGGGAACATCCCCAGTAGGGGGTGTGCAAGAGGCAGCTGGTCGATGTTTCTCTCTCATCGACGTTTCTAGCTCTCTCTCTCTCTCCCTTCCTATCTGTAAAATATCAATAAAATATATATTTTTTAAAAATGGTAAAAACAGAAACTTCCTATGACTGAAGCACTGAGCTGTGGCTTCTTCAGTTCCTAGTAGTGTTTTGACTTTTACCATTCTCTGAATATTTCTTCTTTTGAACATGAAGATCTATTTTTGAAAGCTTTTATCCATTCCAACGGAGCCCTGCACTGACCCGTAATATATTAAAACTGATTTAAAACTTTGAGTTCTGCCTGGACAATGTGGGTCAGGAGGTTGGGCATCATCACATGCATTAAGAGGTCACTGGTTCAATTCCTGGTCAGACACATGCCCAGGTTGTAGCCTTGATCCCCAGTAGGGGGTGTGCAAGAGGCAGCCAATACATGTTTCGCTTTCATTGATGTTTCTATCTTTCTCTTCCCCTTCCTTCCTTCCTTCCTTCCTCCCTCCCTCCCTCCCTTCCTTCCTTCCTTCCTTCCTTCCTTCCTTCCTTCCTTCCTTCCTCCCTCCCTCCCTCCTTCTCTCTCTCTCTCAAAAAAAAAAAATCAATAAGAACCCTTTAGAAAAAATTATTCTCCATTAAAAAATAAACCAAAAAACTGTGAGTCCTCTAAACATCACCTTGCACACACAGTGAGAAAATACTAAGTGACCCATCTCTGGGTTTCAGATTATTTAGGATTTTATGCTTATTGAGTAAGAAAAAAAAAAATAACCAAAAGTGGGGTCAAGGCTTCTCACAACAGTACTACCCCTGGAACTGCACTCATTCAGAAGCTATAATAATTGGGATGGGCTGAGGCAAAATCTATTTTAAAGTTTTAATTAAGGTGTTGCATACAACAAACTCAGCAAATTTAAGTGTGCAAACTGGCAAGCTCTGATAGGTGTATAGTCATGAAACCACCACCATTATAATATAGAAAATTTCTGCCAACCCAGAAAGTTCCCTTGTGCCCCCATTGGATCAATCCTGTTCCCCAGCTCTCAATCCCTGGCAACTGCTAACCTGCCTTCTATCATTCTTACATTGCCTTTTAAAATTTAATAAAAATGGAATCATACAGTACCTAGTCCTCTGTGTCTGGTTTCTTCCACTCCACAGAATATTTTGGAGATTCATCCATGCTGTTAGACGTACCAATAGTTTGTTCACTTTTACATATTGAGGAAAAGTAGTCCCTTGAATAGATATACCACAACCTGCTTATCCACGAACCAACTGCAGATATTGGGGTTGTTTCTATTTTGGCTACTGTGAATAAAGCTGCTATGAACATCTGAGTACAAATCTTAGTGTCGATATATGTACTCATTTCTCTTGGTTAAATTTCTAGGAGGAGATTTGGGGGGCAAGTATGTGGTAAGTGTATGAAAATATATATATATAAAAGGCTAAGTGACCATCGAGTACCCAACCTTCTGAACAGTAGCTATAGGTGCAATGACCACCAGGGGTCAGACGCTCAACACAGGAGCTGCTGAGAACCCAAGAACTGCCCACTCGCAATCTGGGACCCCTCAGGGGATGTCGGAGAGCCAGTTTTATAGCCCAATCCCCGCAGGCCAGGCTGAAGGACCCCACCTGCCTGAGGGATCCTGCTCACTCCACAGACACCCTTCGAGCCACGGCGCTGCCCCAGGTACAGCTTTCAGGGATGAACTGCGGGAGGTTGGCTCCGGGGTGTGTCTGGCCTGTCTTGCTCAGTCTGGCTCCTCCGGCCACCTTCTAATTAATTTCCTTTCAATGCACACAAATCCGTGCACTGGGCCACTAGTGTCTCTATAAGAAACTGAACTGTTTTTCCTTCTATAATACAGTCCCCAAGCAGTGTATGAACACTGCACTGCTCTCCATCTTTAGCAATATTTGCCATTATCAGTCTTTTAAATTTTACCGATTCTGGTGGGTGCCTGGTGTAAATTTTACTTCTGACTATAGAAAGCATTTATGGATCAGGGGAGCAATTTAAGAAAGAATTAAGGGGCTCTTTAGATAACATCATTCTAATCGTGAACACTATCTCAGGAAACTGTTTTGTGAATAAACTGAGGGTTTCTTAGGTACTTTTGTTATTCTACTATGGTTATTATCCATAACTAAATTAAAACTAGCTCACTGACAAACTTTTGTAATTTTTCACTAAGTCATGCTACCTTGGTTTTCTGTGGCTCTGATGATAGATCACCACCGGCTGGTGGCTTACATCCATAGGAACGTATTCTCTCCTAGTCCTGGAGGCAGGGTGCCCGCAGGCTATGTCACCTTCCAGGCTCTGTGGAAGAAGGGGCCCCTACCCGTCAAGCCTCCGGCAGCTGCTGGCCTTCCTTGGCTGTGGCTGCAGCTTCTGCTTCTGTCTTTACACCGTCTTCTCTGCGTGTGTCTGCTTTCCCTCTGCCTCCCACTTATAAGAATACATGTGATAGCTTTTAGGGCCCACCTCGATAAATCCAGGATAATCTATCTCAAAAATCCTTAACGTAATTATATCCTTTCCCAAATAAAGTAACATTTACAGAATCTAGGCATTTGCTCTGATATCTTGGGAGACATTATTCAGCCTACTAAAGACCACATTAGCATAAATTAGGAGCTTATTGTACAAAACTCACGCCTTTACAGTATCTTGCTTCATCACCTATATGAAGCTGGAGGGTGGGGACAGGGGTTTTTAGAGTTTCTCTTAGAATAAAGGGCTCTGTATAACTAAATGTGGCTATGTCGGAGTATTGTAACACAAAACAATTTTGTATTCCTCTTTTAGGTTTCAGGCAAAATATTTCTTATTCATATTTCCTTAGCTTAACTGAAACAGAGCATGTATGCATTCTTATTGAATTTAACATTCGAATTCTTCAGGCTTTTAATTATTTGTTTTGCCTTGCCTTATTTTTTCCTCCTTTTTTCTCTCTCCCCTCTTTTCTTTTCTAACGTTCCTTCTCCCAAGTTAATTTTCCTCAGCTTTCTTTTTTTTTAATTAAAATTAAAAAATATATATATATATTTTATTGATTTTCCACAGAGAGGAAGGAAGAGGGATAGAGAGCTAGAAACATCAATGAGAGAGAAACATTGACCAGGGATGTGCCCGCAACCAATGTACATGCCCTTGACCAGAATTGAACCTGGGACCCTTCAGTCCGCAGATCGACGCTCTAGCCACTGAGCCAAACTGGTTTTGGCTCAGCTTTCTTCTTTGTACTCTCCCTACCACAATTCATCAATGTGACAGTGTTCTGTGAAATGGCCCTGTGACGCCTGCAACATCTGAGACACACAGAGACATAAAGGACCGACTCACTGGCGGCTTTTCCCGTTAGCGAAGTGATGCTCAGCCTCCGGGCTGTGGTGGGCGACTTCTGCTGGGGGGGCGTCCGGCACTGCTTCACCAGGTCCTCATCGGCTGCAGGCGCCATCAGCTCTCCAATGAGAATCCGCTCCAGGCTCCCGTCGTCCACGCCCTTCCCCAGCCACCGCCCGCACGGGAACCTGGCAGGACCAAAACCAACCAACAAAAACCTCCTTCAGCATCACCGATACTTTACTTACTATTACTAGTGTTAGTCAGCATTTTAAAAATAGCACCATGGCTGAAACCGGTTTGGCTCAATGGATAGAGCGTTGGCTTGGGGACTGAAGGGTCCCAGGTTCGATTCCGGTCAAGGGCATGAACCTTGGTTGAGGGCATATCCCCAGTAGGGGGTGTGCAAGAGGCAGCTGATCGATGACTCTCTTCTCATTGATGTTTCTAACTCTATCCCTCTCCCTTCCTCTCTGCACAAAATCAATAAAATATATTTTAAAAAAATAAATAAAAAAAATAAAAATAGCACCGTGAGTAAAGTAAAGCCCACCATTTTGGTGCCTGTGGTTGTTTCTTTTAATTATGAACAATTTAAAACACAGAAAAATAGATAAAATAACAGTGTAACAAACACTATGTATTCTTACCACCTAGACCAGTGGTCGGCAAACTGTGGCTGGCAAGCCATATGCGGCTTGTGAGCCACAGTTTGAGGCTCTGTTGACTAATGAGTTTGCCGACCACTGGGATAGGGGCTTAATCACAAGGAATAACAACAGCCTGTAATTATTGGAATTGAGAGTCTAGGTAAGTGGTTGACAAAAAAATTAAAAAAAATAAAAATTACCAGTGGTCAGCAAACTGCGGTGGCTCAGGAGCCGCAGTTTGCCCACCACTGACCTAGACTTATCATTTTTTGTTGAAGTTATTTTAAAAGTAAATTATATATACTAGGACATGTAAAACACTTCAATCTAAATCTCTAAATAATAAAGATGTTTTCTCTCTTAGATAGCCATAGGTTATTATCACACCCAAATTAAAATAATTGTTTTTTTAAAAATTTGACATTTAAAGGAAAGTTGCTTTTAGAGAAAGAGGAAGGGAGAGAAACAATTTCTATCAGCTGCCTCCTGCATGCTCCCTACTGGGGATTGGTGCCTGACCAGGAAGCAAACCACCAATCTCTTGGTATATGGGTCAATGCTCAACCATTGAGCCAAACTGGCCAGTCTAAAATAACTCTTTAATATTTTCTCAAACCTAACTCATCAACATTTTGTGATTAATTTTTGAAAGAATAGTCTCAAACTCTGAGTATCAGAGTTAAGTTACAGAAGAAAAGAGGAGAATGTTCACAGAAAGGCATGCTGGCTGGAACTAGCAGAGTCTCAAAGATCCTGTCCTCATACTGAAATTATTTTAAGCTTGTTTCTTTCTTCCTTTTTTAAATCAGAGTTACAGCAATCGTTTTCTGTACAACAATCAACACTTGTGAACTAAGCATTAGCAGTGAACACAATGCGTTTTTGTAAAGTATTATTTGAGGCAACTTTGTATCAAACCAAACCAAAACCACCCCCAAAAAGCTAAACTCAGATACAGAAGGCAGAGGGAAAGCTTTAGAAAGAAACAGTTCTTAAACCTTTCCTTGTCTAGCGAGTCTCACAATAGGAACTCTGAATTTACTCACCTGTATGTGTGTCCTGTGATTTCATTTCTGACCATGACACAATCCACCAGCCACTTGGCTAATAGTCCTGAGTTGTCGTGACCAATCTGCACGGTGGTCAGCTTCCCCAGGTTCTGGCACTGTCGGGACAGGACCACAGGTTATTCAGCGCCCGATCCCATCCCACTTCCTCTGGGCTTTCGCTGTGGTCCCGTGGTTCCACCTCCCTCAATTCATTGCAGAGGGCCCACTCTGCATGTGAGCTCTGCTCTGCACAGAGAAACACAGTCACATCCAATACATCCCAGCTAAGGAGACAGGAGGCAGGAGGCAGGTGGACTTGATCTAATGAAAGGACCGCCAAGCTGCTACACTCGAGATGCAAACAGTGGAAGCAGACGCTGGAGAAGGAAAGTTTATTTCTAACTGGGGGACCCAGAAACATCACACAGACAGTGATTTGTGCCTGAAAGGGTGAGAAGAATTTCAAGAAGCAGAAAAAGGGTGCTATTAGATTGAGTTACAGAGTGGTCAGAAAAACAACTATAGACACAATAAGAAAAAAAATCACTGACCCAGCTATTTTTGTTTCAAATAAAATACTCAGGCAGAACTGACCTTAAACCTCATTGACTAGATAGAAATCTTCAAAGCTATTGTTAAAACAACAAAACAGCATAGTTATCAACATCTTTCCTGGCCCTTTGTGGACAAGAACAAAAGAAAGTGATCGCTGAAACTGGTTTGGCTCAGTGGACAGAGCGTCAACCTGTGAACTGTCCCAGGTTCCATTCCGGTCAAGGGCATGTACCTTGGTTACGGGCACATCCCCAGTAGGGGGTGTGTGAGAGGCAGCTGATGGATGTTTCTCTCTCATCGATGTTTCTAACTCTCTATCCCTCTCTATTCCTCTCTGTAAAAAATCAATAAAAAATATACTTTTTTAAAAAAGAAAGTGATAACAGGAATGGTAAAAATAAATGTCAATTAAATGCTGATGTTTAAATTCTGATAAGACATCACAGACCCCACTGCCTATGTGCGGGTGGGGTGATCAGGGCTGAGTTCTTAGGCCCTTGACTTTGTTTCACAGTGAGAAGGCATCACACTGACTCAGGAGAGGGGAATGGCACCTTAAATCAGCTGTGGCTGCAGAGATGGAAGGAACTAGACAGACGTGAGGGAGTTTGGAAGCCGTATTATAGGGACGTACGGTGCAGTGTGTTCCGTTCTTGATAGTCAAAGAAAAGCTAAGGGCTTCAATCTTTTACATACAGACGGTTGTGAGTTCACTGGTTAGATAAGGCCAAAGTGGGATTCCGTGGGGAGAGCGCTATTCCTGGATCGCAAGGAACATGACAACAGGGTGCGCAGCTGGTACCACATCCCTCCAGAGCAGGCCCCGGCTTCCTCCAGCATGCCGGGACCTACCTGCCCGTGAGCTCACACACATGGGAATACTTCCCCAAGCGAGACCTGAACTACGACACGGAAAGGTATTTTTACAAAATTACTTTATAAATATCACCACGTGGTCTGCAAGCCATAAGCATGGACACAGTCCTGTGTCCACGGTCAGGCGGGAGGGTCTGCAGTGGGAATGAGGGCCGCTGTGGGGAGAAAGCTCTGAGTGCCAAGGCACTGGAGTCCCAGAGCAGGACTGGAAAAGGCCCCGGTGCACCATCACAGGTAGGAAAACACAGCGAACAATGACACTTACAACCAAGATACAAAACAAATTAGTGTGTTTACGACAACTTGACCGCAGGTACATGACCCCAGAAATGGTCCTCCGTGCTTGACTGTGCCTTTGTATTATCTGACTCAAGGCAAAGGAAAAAGTGAAACTGGTCTCCTTGTGCAGAATTACGTATGGCGCTTTCTGTGGGGACAGGTCTTAGCTGCACCGACCTCAAAGGTCATTTCGAGGAGGTTTTTGGGGATCTGCATCACTCCCGTGTCTCCCAGCTCCCCCGACACACAGATCCAGGGGTTCGAGGTGATGATCGCGTTGCTCAGCTTCTTGATGGGGATGATCACCGACCTATACGGAATCACTGGGGGGGGAAAATGCTGAAATTAGTGAAAAGTCACAATAAAATTCTCCAGGTAACAAAACAAACATGCCTTAAGAACTCTGTTGGCTTTCACATTTAAGTCACTTAAATATATGTTTTATTAATTTTGAGAGAGAGAAAGGAAGAGAGAAACACTGATTGAACACCCCTCCCTGGGGATCGAACCCACAACCCAGGCATGTGCCCTGACTGGGAGTCGATCTGCCGGCCTATTGGTGCCTGGGAGGACACTCAACCGACTGAGCCACACCGGCCAGGGCCACAGTTAATTCACTCTTTATGATCTATCAAGATGTACTTAGACAAAAAGATGAGATGATAGCCTCTCCTAGTTTGGGAAAATGAGGTCCAGTTTGTAAGCCCTAAGTTCTGATACCGGAGGTGGTTTCCCCAGCACATACACCACCATGTGTGCATGGCATGCATATATCACCATGGCGATATACCTCCCTGTGCATTTATATACAATCTTAGGCGTGAGCACCAGCACACTCGAGGGCTTGAATACTAACAGCGTTGTAAAGTGTTTTCATTGCTTTAGCGCTTTTATTAATTTTGCTTCAAAGTCGAGTCCACATGAGCATGGCTCCTGGCTGGTTTTGTATGAAAAAGGGGCTGCATGACTTCCTGACTAGCATCCCTGTTGCATTGCTGAACCGCCTTGGGCAGTGCTTTAAGGCACAGCATTTCTGAACATTTCCACCCCCATTTTACAGCTCAATATGCAAAGCCAAGAAAAGTAAACAACAGCCCCTCCAACTGGACACAACATAAGGTCTTTAAATGACAACTTGGAAACCTATGAAAGCGACTCACGGAGGGGCCTCAGGAAAGGAATCAAGATGTGGAAATGAGGCACACCACTAGGTGTCACTGTCCCACCACTGTTTTTGCTCAAATGTGGAAACACAATAAAGTTAGACATTACCACGCCCCCTCCATTTTCCTTTAAAAAAATGGGGGCGGCTCAAACACAGTAGCATTATCTTTGAGAGCCATACGTGGTTGTTTTTCCCCCCGAGAAAAGCAGGGTAGAATCCATATTTTTTTGTTGGTATTCTTGGGATTACTGATCACTCATTTACCAAAGCACTCCCTGAAAGCGGTCCAGGGAAGGAGAGCACACTCACTGGGCCAGATGTCCAGGTGCCGCCTCCCCATATGGCTCAGGGTTCAATGCATCCTCAGGTGAGGAAAATGAATGGGACAAACGGTTCATTTCCCTGATTTTACACAGACCGCATTTTTCATGTGGAGAGGATGACCTCCCTGTCTGTCTGTTTTGGCAGAAGGAGAGGAAATGCTAGAGGAAAGGCCCTACTTGCATGTTTCAGTCGTCACAAGAATCAAATCGTTTTTGGAACTGAAAGCAGAAGAGGTTAGAGCGAGACTATTTTGGGTGCCAGAGGTTTTTCTTAATTTCTTTCATTGACAGGATTAGAAAAGCTGCAGAAAAGAGCCAGCAGATGCACAACAGTGATTTCATCAAGTATAAAAAGTAACATTATTTAAACTCAGAATATATCTTTCATGAAGTATCTCAACTGCTCAAATTGAAAGAGTTTCTTAGCTGAAGAGAAATCTGCAGATATAAGGAGGATTTTAGGAGTCCTATTTCTTCTCTTTCAAAACTGTACATAACATTTTAGCTTTTCATTCCTGCAAGAACCTAATAACCTAATAAATGAGTACAAGCTTCCCAGATAAGTTGGCTCAGTAACCATTTCAACTCCAGTGTTCCTTGTCTGCCTCTACCAGAGACTAGAAAAACCAAAAACCTACACGATTCTGGCCAGTGAAATGCTAGTGATGTTTATGGTGATCGCTTGGAAAATTATGTTTTTCAAACACAGATTCTGACGCATTTTCCTTGGCATTCCTTCCTTCTTCCTACTGGAAAGAGGACTGAGAACTGTGACTAGAAGGTGATAAGCACACACTGAGGATTGTCTAGGAGGAGAGGGACGAAGAGCCCATGTCCAAGTCCTGGCTGGTGTTGCCTACTGGTTAGAGTGTTGGCCTAAGGACCAAAGGGTCACGGGTTTGATTCCTGGTCAAGGATATGTACCTTGGTTGCAAGTTTGATCCTGGCTCCAGCCAGGGCATATGCAGGAGGCAACCAATTGAAGTGTCTCACTCAATGTTTCTCTCTCTTTCTCCCTATCTCCCTGCCCTCTCCTCCCCTTCCACTCTCTCTAAAAATCAATGGAAAAAATATCCTCAGGTGAGGACTGGAAAAAAAGAGCTCATGTCCATGATGGCACTATGGACTACCTACTATAAGGCTTCTTGTTATGCAAGAAAAATAAAACTACTAATTTGTTTAAACAACTGTTTTGCAAGTTTCTGAAACTTGCAGCTGAACATAACCCCAAACTGATACAAGTAAAAAGTCTATAAACTAGGAAAGAGGACACACAGCTAATAAGGATTAGCAGCGGTGAAGAGAATAAATGCTTTAATTCAGCTTATCCAAACCCGTCAGCACCTCCTCCCTCCACAGCCTATACTCCCCATCAAGATCCTGAAGTCTTTCGGAATCACCAGAGAGTAACGATGTTCAGGTAGAAAAGTTTATTTTTATTACCTACTGATTCTTTCAATGTATAGGTTTTGGATAAGATCTATAAATATATTCCTTTTCACGTCCATCCCACTTCCTGTTGCAGACTGAGTTTCCCGGGAGGCAGACCCTGAGTCAGAAATCAGCACCAGAATGCTGCTTCTGGGATCCATGTGAGAGGAGAAAGCAGGCCTGGTGGAGGGAGAAGCTGTCGTAATGATGGCGAGTTCTGGGACAGCCTCTGACCAGGCAGAGCAGGCTGGCCCTGGCAGGAGGGCTCCCTGGGGTGAGGCACTCCCTCCCCACAGCACAGAGAGCCAAGGACCCTTCAATCCTAAAGGAGAGGCAGGTGGAGTGCGGGTGCAACAGTGTCCACCTCAGTATAGTAGGATATGTCTCACTTTTTAAAATATGAACCCTGTTCCATTAGTCACCCGAGCAATTCTTCCCTCAACAGCCGCCCCCAGACTTACTGATGGTGGTGAAGACACTGGTGAAGCAGAAGTAGTCCACTGCGTTGAGGGAGAGAAGATGGTATAGAAACTGTTCCCGTTCTTCTTCGCAGCACAGAAAGGCATACCGCTTATAAAGCTTTCTAGGAGAGAGCAGGGCAAGCACAACAACAGTGTAGGCTATTTCTCATTATCTCTCCCGTGAGAAGTAAACCCCTCTACTGAGACAAACCGGGTAGAAATTCTAATCTGGAAAGAACAGACAGTTCACAAAAACGAACATGCAGACAGGTAACGTCTTAAGCTAATCAGTCATTAAATGGGGGGGGGGGGGGGCGGGCGGGAAACAAACCACAACCCATGTTGTCTACGAAACTAATAGAGACCAGAAAGTGCTGACCAGTGCTGACGAGGGTGTGGACAATGAACAGCTAGCGATTCTGACAGACAGTGGGGCTGAGAGTTTCAGGAGAGCCATTTGCTGGTAATACCTCTTTTACACCAGTCACCAGTCCAGCATTAATTTTACAAGAGGAGCCACCCTGTAACGTGAGGTGATCAACACACGGTGGGCTGTCCCGGAGGAGAGGGGCAAAGAGCCTGCGTCTGGGATGGCCCTGTGGACCGCCTAGCCCCTGACTCCTCGTTACGTGAGAGAAACAGAACTACGGTGTGTCGACTTCTGCAATGCGCTTTGTAAGCACACAGGTCATGGAAACGGAAATGCCCCAACCTGTCTCACCTGGTGAGCGGCTGGTTAGACAGCAGCTGCTTGAGATGCTGGGACAAGAGCTTCTTTTCCAGAGACAGCCTGATCCACGCCCGAGCTCGCCCGACGTCAGTCTTGATCTCACCCATGTTCTGAATGTGCCTAAGGAACGGCAGCCACAGAAAAGACGTGAATCCTAAGGTTTGGAAAAGACCTCCGGGCTGCAGCTCTCTGCCCAGGAAAGTTCATTTACACTTCCGTGAAGCAATAAGGAGCACAGTTTATGTTGATTAAACCTTCAGAGGTTCTATCTTAGTTATGAATCTAGCCCCACATCAGAATTACCCTTAAAACACAAATGTACAGATAACGTCTTAAGATGCACAAAGCATTTGAAACCCATTAATCCTTTAACGTTTCATTATGTTCTTTCAGCCTCACAGATAAGCTGGCACTTGGTTATTCCTGACTCTCAGGAAAATAAAGTAAACAGGCTGGAATTCCAAGTTTTTGTTCAAAATAATTATTCTACAGTATAACGAAGTATCTGACGCAAATTTAACCCACTGAATTATTTGCCGCAGCTCTAGACAACACACGGAGAAGACGAAACCTTACTTTCTATGGCATCAGCAGACACGCTGTACTGCATTGACAAATTCAACATTTAAAAAATTTCTAAGACTTGAAAAATTGTGTGGCTATAAAGAAACAGTGCGGTCACTCGTCAGTAGAACGTCACATACTGTGGAAATTCACGTGGAAGTCAATGCTACCCCCATAGGCTGTGTTTATCTTCCTCAATGATTTTCTCCCTGAGGGGACGAAGGGCAGGCCGGAAGGACAAGCCCATGGGAGGGGCAACTGTAAAACCACCGAGGCCTTTGTGATCGGACCCGCCTTTAATTTTTTTTTTTTAAATCTAAAATGACTCATCCTAGCTGTAATAAATATTGCAATGAAACCTTTTGTCTGATGATTTTAAGCTTTCAGAATAAGGACTAAAGCCTTATTTTGCCACACACACACACACACACACACACACACACACACACTTCTCTTTTTTCCTCCCTCTCTCTCAATCCTTGGATCTGAACATTTAGGCCCTCGATATTAAGTGCTGATTTATAACCAAACACTCTTTTTTTTTAAAAATATATATTTTATTGATTTTTTACAGAGAGGAAGAGAGAGGGATAGAGAGTTAGAAACATCGATGAGAGAGAATCATCTGTCAGCTGCCTCTTGCACACCCCCCACTGGGGATGTGCCCGCAACCAAGGTACATGCCCTTGACCGGAATCGAACCCGGGACCCTTCAGTTCACAGGCCGACGCTCTATCCACTGAGCCAAACCGGTTTCGGCAATAACCAAACACTCTTGGAAAAAACAAGATGTAAAGCATTACATCACCTCACACAGACACACTGAATGAGATTTCAGACACGTGCAGACACGTGTGAATGAGATTTATGACGCACTTATTTTTAAAGGGCTGATACCATTATGGATGGTGATGAACGGAGAAGGCTGGGGGCAAGCAGGCCCCCCTAGGAGCCTGGTTCTTACTGGTGGTGGTGGTGGCAGTGCTGAGCCTGACGGCCCAGGGTGAGCCCCTGCAGCAGCACTGGCTGTCCCTCAGTCCTACCGACATTCCCCGAAGGCTGGCACGGCTGCTGTGGGGAAATAAATGCTCAGGCGTTTTTACCACTTAACTTTCCACAGTATCTACATGGAACCCCATGAGTGCCGGGTGGGCTCTGAGCCCCCATAACCCTAAGAATACCAAGTTAATTCAAAATGAATTCACTGAAAATGAATCCATATGGAGGCTGATAAGTACTGAATGTTTCCCTACCTACCCTTCCTACTCTAAAACAGTAAACTCTACTGAAATTAGTGTTATGCTGACCTTAAACAGGTAGGTGAAGAATGATAGAGTGGAAAATAATTATAATTTAAAAAACAATCTGTGTTTAAGGAAAATGGGGAGGATTGGAGTACATAAAACAAAACGTATTTTATTTAGGTGGCAATCCGCATCCCCATCATAAAAGCATTTGTGCCAGTGTCTTTGGTGGGAGGCGAGGGATCTGTCACAGCAGTGGCTCCTGAGATTCCGTATCCCATTACCTCTTCCCTCTGTGATTGTATTCATGTCTGAGTCCCAGCTTCTGCTGGAACGCTTTCCTTGACTGTGACAGCCTCCAACGACCTAATTTATGAAATTCTGTAGTCTAATCGACATGCTCCATGCACTGCCTACTTTGATCATTTTCTCTTGGTTTATGCTTTTTCAGCTTGCCAAGGTCCCTGAGGACAAGCAAGGAGCCAATACCTCTGAGTAGCCTTGCATCCTTCTTTGTACCTATAAGGCCCAGAACATATTAGGAGCTAAAAAAAAATATCACAAAACAGCTCTGTTGCTTTGTATATCACTATCTAATTTTATGCTTAAAGACATTTATATGTGTTGTGTTATTAAACTTTAATCCAAATCTATTCAATGTTTTCCTGTGTAGCTACATCATTTTAATTAAATTCTCAACCGAGAATATGTGGTGATTTTTAAATTGATTTTACAGAGAGGAAGGGAGGGAAAGACAGACAGACAGATACACTCATACACTCAAAGAGAGAGAGAGAGAGAGAGAGAGAGAGAGAGAGAGAGAGAGAGAGAGAGAGAGAGACACCCCCAAACCAGGAATGGAACCCACAACCTTTCAGTGTATGGAATGACCCTCTAACCAACTGCATGGCATGTAGTCATACCATTTTAATCTGTTTTTAGATGGAATAACTTATTACAGATAGTTATAAAGGCATTTAGCATAAATAATATCATACAAGTATTATTGCTAGTAAAATAGAGCCTGTTAATTCACAGAAAAGCATACGTGGTGTGGTTTAAATAATTTATCTACTTGATTTAGTTTTTAATCTTGATACAAAGCTTTCTAATTTAAACAAGTTTTATGTACTTTGTCTTATCTGATCATCACAGTAACTAGTGAGAAGGAGGACATAGTTATTTCCCTGTAAAGATGAGAAAACGGAGACTCCTTCAGACTGAGGGACCCACCCAAGGTCACAGAGATCACATGTTATTCTAGAGGAGCCACCCACTTCCTTCCAGTCTCCTCTTCCTGGCACTTACATTCTTGGAGGAGCTCCCCTTCCACAAACTCACACCACCGGGGGCCCCGTGACCCACGGCCCCATGCTCCTAACCCCTTAGCCAGTCACATTTCCTCTCGGAAGCTGGGAATGAGTACCCTAATCAAGCGAGTTCTCAATGAGTGCTTAAAATAAGACAGGCTGTTAGAGCCAGGGCTTGGGAGAGCACGTGCACAAGACAGCCAGGAAGGACAGGAGAGAAGGGGAGAAGCAGAGAGGATTTGCTTCCTGTGAGACAAGATTGTTTTCCTCCCAGCTGCAATTCTTGCTCTTGAGTTCTGGAAGATACCCTTACATATCTCCAATGAATCCTGTGTTTGCTGAAGCCAGTCTGAATGAGTTTCTTATTTTAAAAAATATATATTTTATTGATTTCTCACAGAAAGGAAGGGAGAGGGATAGAGAGCTAGAAACATTGATGAGAGAGAAACATCGACCAGCTGCCTCCTGCACGCCCCCTATTGGGGATGTGCCCGCAACCAAACTACATACCCTTGACTGGAATTGAACCCGGGACCGTTCAGTCCACACACCGATGCTCTATCCACTGAGCCAAACCGGTTTCAGCCAAATGAGCTTCTTATTATGTGTCCTGGACTCCTTACAGCTGCTTAAGCAATCTGGTGCCAAGACTCTGTTTCCCCAAACTGAATGATTTCTAAGACTGATAGCACCTAAGTAAGTGTAATCTACACTTCCTGGTGCTTATTTTACTGCATTAATAGTGAATGCTAGTAATATTCATTAGAGAAAATAAAAGAATCAGCCAATTTTATAATAAGCTCATATCCTGTACAGTCATAAAAATTCCTCAAAATAGTCCTTCCCAAGGGTAACAACATCAATCATGACTACTCAGCTTGTGTTGAATAAAACCAGATGTTCATTAGCACAGGTGTACACATCTATACTAATAAAAGGGTGATATGCAAATTGGTCACGACACCTTCACAGTAACAACCAAATAGCAAGCTGCATGCGATGACAAGGTCGGCAGGGGAGGCAGTGAGAGGTGACCAGGCTGGCAGAGGGGGGCAGTGAGGGGCGACCAGGCTGGCAGAAGGGGACAGTGAGGGGCAACCAGGCCAGCAGGGGGGACAGTTGGGGGCGACCAGACTGGCAGAGGGGGGCAGTTAGGAGTGACCAAGCCAGCAGAGGGGGCAGTGAGGGGCGACCAAGCTGGAGGGGTGGGGCAGTTGTGAGTGACTAAGCCAGGGCAGTTGTGGGCGACCAGGCTGGCAGAAGGGGGCAGTTGGGGGTTACTAGGCCAGCAGGGGGGCCAGTTAGGGGTAATCAGGCAAGCAGGCAGGTGAGCAGTTAGAAGCCAGCGGTCTGGATTGTGAGAGGGATGTCCGACTGCTGGGATGTCCCTGTGATAGGGCTGAAACTGGCAGTTGGACATCCCCAGAGGAGTCCCAGATTGGAGAAGGTCCAGGCTGGGCTGAGGGGACCCACCCCTGCCCTGTGCATGAACTTCATGCACCGGGCTTTTAGTTATTTATAAAAAGATAAAGTCACTTGCCAATTTGCCCTCAAGTAACTTATCCCCATCTTTATATGTAAATAGAATATTTCTAGGATTTATTCACATCCTCTTCATGTTTACATATTCAGACTTATCTATATTTGAATTATAGTATTCACAATCTCCTAGATCATATAATGTTCTGCTATGCCCCACATCATTAATTATATTTTGCCATTAAGAACATAAGGCCCAACAGCTAGATGGTATGTGCATAGCTACTTTCGAAAAAAACTGGCAACAATGGTACCACCACAATAATACTCCTCTTCTCTCTGTAGATAATCAGTCCAGTTAGTTACTGTCCCCAGGCTCTCTCACTGGAATAAAAAGACATTGTGTAAGTGACAGTTTGGTGATATTTGGCAACTCTGAAAGTCTTAGGAAGGGGCCTGCGATACTAAGACAAAGGGGACAGCCTTCAGACAGGTGTCCTGGGCTCCTTACAGCAGCTAAGCAATCCAGTGCCAAGACTCTCAACATCTGTGAGAACTCCAAATCCTTAAACTGCCAATGTATTTGCCTCAAGAGATGAACTTAAGAAGATGAGGTAAAGACAGAGGCATGTGCCCAACAGAGAGCATGGGCTCAGAGAGAGATACCACCCAATCCTTAGAAAATACGCTTTTCCTTCAATTGTCCAGATGTAAAGAAACCAGACTTTAGAATATTACTTGGGTGGTGTTCTTGGATCTACTACAGCAACTATTTAAGTAGCAATTAGGGACTAACATGAAGTACTAACCCAGAATTTGGAAATAGGGAAATAAGCTGGTCTGTGGGGCCCACAACAGGGTGATGGGGGTGGGGGCGCCACTGGCACCCACCTTGGCTGGTTGCCTAGCGCCATCCGCTCGCCGGCCCCAACTAGGGGCAGCTCCTGTGTTGAGCATCTGCCCCATGGTGGTCAGTGTGCATCATAGTGACCAGTCATTCTGCCAGTCAGTCAAGTTGCATATTAGGGTTTTATTAAATAGGATTACGTTTAGCCTGATGTGTACCCATAGACTGTTGCTAGCCAGGGCAAGTGATCTAGACTTTATTGTAAGATCACCATATATCCAAGAAGAAGAAATAGTAGGGTAAGCACAGAAATATGGGAACTAGGATGTAATCCAGGTAAGCAATTTTAGGGGCTTAGACTAGAGAGGTCATTGTTCATTGATCTAACAGTCCATGGAATAAGTGAGCAGTAGTTACAACTATTCCTCTTATGCTGGCCATTCAAAGGAATCATAAGCCACACAAGGACAACTACATGTCATCTACCAAGGAACACATCATTTAAGTTATAAGTATATAAAACTTACTCAGACTACAGAAACCAACGTTTACTGAACTTTTACTATGAGCCAAGTACTTTTTCAAACTTTTTTTTAAAAAATATATTTTACTGATTTTCCACAGAGAGGAAGGAAGAGGGATAAAGAGCTAGAAACGACGATGAGAGAGAAACATTGACCAGCTGCCTCCTGCACACCCCCTGCTGGGGATGTGCCCACAACCAATGTATAATACATGCCCTTGACCGGAATCGAACCTGGGACCCTTCAGTCCGCAGACCGACGCTCTATCCACTGAGCCAAACCGCTTTCGGCGAGCCAAACCAGTTTCGGCTTCTTCAAACTTTTTACAGTAATAGACTATAGGCTAATTCACTTAAATTTCATTTCAATGCTATAAGATAGATAACTTTTAAAATCTCTACTTGAGAGATGGGAAATTGAGGCACAGAGAAGTTACAAAAACTGCTTGGGGTCACACAGCTAGTAAGTGGTGAAGCCAGGATGTGTTACCACTCTACTATGCTGCCGCTCATAATAGTTATGCTTTTCACTCCCAAGTACCTGACAAATCAAGTAAATATCCTACTAACACTACTAAAGCAATAAAGTTACAAGTGTTATAAATGTTACATTATTCATTTTTTTAAAAATATATTTTTATTGATTTTTTACAGAGAGGAGGAGAGAGGGATAGAGAGCTAGAAACGTCGATGAGAGAGAAACATCGACCAGCTGCCTCTTGCACACCCCCACTGGGGATGTGCCCACAACCAATTTACATGCCCCCGACCGGAACTGAACCTGGGACCTTTTAGTCCGCAGACCGACGCTCTACCACTGAGCCAAACCGGTTTCAGCATAATATTCACTTTAAGCCCAGGTTTTTAAGAGCTGACTAAGTATTATACCTAAAATGTCTAAAAGAAAAAAACCTCTGCCTCTCTCATTCAATACATCTTCTTAGCTACCCTGATGCCTTCTAATGATGTCTAAGACCAGTAACTGCAAGTGATCTCTCTCAGATTTGTATTTGCTTCCAATTAAACCTGCTTGACAACAGTTTTTCTGCCACATCACTTGACCTTATTTGCAGATTTTTTAAAAACTGTATTTGTGTGTAGCAAGTATTTACAGAAGTTTTAAAAAGCTGAACAAAAGAAACTGTAAAATAATTTACAGCTCCTTTAAAACTCTTTTCTGTTGCATTTTCCCTTTGGAGTTAATGTCAGGAAAAATATAACAGTGTGAAAGTAAAATAAACAAGGTCATAAAAATGTGATTTTTGAGAATACATAAGCCAAAAATAAACACAGCCAAAATCATTTGAGCAATTTAAGTGAAAGCCATACTATTTCAAAGTTACCACCACTTGCTAGCACATATAACAAATACCTCATGTCTTGGATAAGGGAGACCCTGAGTGTTGGCAACATAACTCCTGAGTCAGATTTTCTTCTTTCTGGTCCCAGGGCAACTAGGAAGAAAAATATCGACAAAGTGTTAGAAAAATAACAGTAAGAAAAAAAATCTATATGATTCACATTCTATAAATAAATACTTTTTTTTTTCAGAGAGGGATAGAGTGTTAGAAACATAGATGAGAAAGAATCATCGGTCAGCTGCTTCCTGCACACCCCCCACCAGGGATGTGCCCGCAACCAAGGTACATGCCCCTAACCGGAATCGAACCTGGGACCCTCCAGTCCGCAGGCCGACGCTCTATCCACTGAGCCAAACCAGTTTCAGCTAAATACTTTAAAACTACTTTTGAAGAACAAATTTTGAAGACAAAAGAAAAGATCAAATTGTTGTCACTTTATTAATGCAATCAACTGGCTATATTCTTCCCAATTAATCTGGAGCTGTGTTTGTAAATTTAAAATGAATTATAAAAGACCACTTAGCAACTAATGTAATGTGTGCAAATTCTGGCCATAATGGCCAGTCATTTTCTAAAGTTATTTATACTAATTGAACTGGATAATTACATGAAAGCAGTATCTATAAATTAAGCCACTGAGCATGTGAATTATCTCTGGGCTCATGCATTGCAATCCCACAATCTCCCTATACACCAGGACTTCAGATTGCGTTGCTGCTTTATAACGTTGACGAGATGCCACAGGAACCTCACTCTTGTTTATATGAATTGGCCTGTGGTAAAATGGGGTTCATTATGTGTCGTTTCGCTTCAAGATGCAGAACCTACCAATGACATTAAGTGAGGACTTTCTGTACTCAGGGGAAGCAGACCTACGCTGGCTGCTGCACACCCTTAGCGCTGCCATGGAGGTGGGAGAGACTCCCACCACCACAGCTGCACTCGCCAGCTGTGTGCCTGGCTTCTGGCTGAGCGGCGCTCCCCTGTGGGAGTGCACTGACTGCCAGGGGGTAGCTCCTGTGTGGAGTGTTTGCCCCTTGGTGGTCAGTGTGCGTCATAGTGACCGGTCGTTACATCATTCAATCTATTGCATATTAGCCTTTTATTATATAGGATGGTCTTTGATTACCTCCTACCCACCCACCCACTCACGATCGGGGCTAGGGAGGGATGCGGGAGGGAAATTTCTATATTATCTGCACATTGTGCTGTGAACCAAAAGCTGCTCGAAAATATAAAGTCTACTAAAAAAATACTAAGAAAGTCAACCCTGCTATGGTCCTCTCGCTAAGACAAACCTTTTCCATTCTTCTGCAACTCTTAAATGTCTGACTGCTGATAGTGCTGCTTTTGAGGGAGTAATGATCTATCATCTAGGCTCATCCTGGCTGAATGTTAATAAGAGCAGGGCTCAGCTCTGGCCGGGTAGCTCAGTTGGTTAGAGCATTGCCCCAATACGCTAAGGTTCCAGGTTCAGGGCACATCTGAAAATGCATTAATTACTAAGCTTAATAGTTGGCAAACAAAAAGTGTTTTTTGAAAAACCAAATCAAACCAAATAAACCACCTGGATTTAAAAGCAGAGAGAACTGTTCATTTCTGTACAATTAGGACTCACTCTTTCTCAATAATGAAATATCTCATTTTTAAACTGATGTGTTTATATGTATCTCACACTGTCATATTTTTAAATCCTAACTTCATGGGCTGAATCATCAAAAGTGTTAGAGCAATATTTATAAAATCCACTCCTCCAAAGCAGACAATAATTTGACTTCAAAAGCTGCATGGTTTATATTTATCCTCATAAGGGTCAGTAAAATATTTAGCTTATGTTCATCTGTGCTTCATTAGCTCTTCAGCACCTGACAGTGCAGTACAGTGCCTGCACGGGGCTCTGAAGAAACACTTGGCGTTTCTTAGCCTTGAGTTCAGAGTTTTGCTGGGCCCATGACTGACTGATTGGTGGCCACTGGAAACAGCTGGATCTCTGGGCTCCAGCTCAACCACCCAACATTTGACCTGCCAACGCCACCAAGCTGCCAGTGTTGCCCCGCAGCTGCTGTCTAACAGCTGGACAGTCTCACATGCCCCACTTGGCACAAGAGGCGAAGCCTTCTACCTCCCAGCCTTAAGTAAGTGTGGCTTTCCAGCATTTCAACCTAAAAATGGTTAATTTGCCCTCCTAGGAATTTATTTTTTCTAATTAGGGTAAGCTACTTTACTTATGGTCTTATGGGCTGAAAAGCTACATTTTCTTTCTCTCTCTAAAAAAAATATATTTTATTGATTTTTTTACAGAGAGGAAGAGAGAGGGACAGAGACCTAGAAACATCGATGAGAGAGAACCATCGATCAGCCGCCTCTTGCACACCTCCTACTGGGGATGTGCCCGCAATCCAGGTACATGCCCTCAACCGGAATCGAACCCAGGACCCTTCAGTCCGCAGGCTGATGCTCTATACACTGAGCCAAACCGGTTTTGGCTGAAAAGCTACATTTTCTATGAACAGAGGTAAGTGTTACAGAGTATATGCCAATGCATTTTTACTTTTTCAACAGAAAAATGGGGCAAAGGAGATGGACATTAGAGAATGCTTTTAAAGTGGACCTCAGTCTTTATAAATATAGTTACATTTTGGGTCTTTAGAATCGTAACATCCTTTTAAGAGGGGTTCCAGGGGAATACAGTATCAAAGTCATATTCCCAGCTTGGCCAGTGTGGCTCAGTGGCTTAGCGTTGACCCATGAACCAAGAGGTCATATTTCAATTCCCCATCAGGGCACATGTCCATGTTTTCGGGCACAATTCCCAGAAGGGGGGTGTGGTGGAGGCAGCCGATGATTCTCTCTCATCATTGATGTGTATACACTTCTTTCTTCTTCTCCCTTCCTCTCTCTGAAATCAATAAAAACATATTACAAAATTTTTTTTAAATTGTATTTCTAGCTGTTACATTGGCAACATTTAAAAACTAGGTTTCCTACAATAAGCACCACATTTAGGGTAGTATTGTGCTCTAGCAGCAATGAGGGGAATAAAAATAGAGCGCTTTAATCCTATTTGCAAGGCTTTATTTATTTATTTATTTAGCATTTGTATACAAGACTTTATTTCTTAAGCTGGAGGTTGGCTTATGAGTTTAAAAAAAATTTTTTTATACTTCTGAATGTCTAAACAAATCTATAATTTTAGAAAAGTTTTCCAAATTCAGTATAAAACATTCTATCTCTACTAGGCTTTCCACTGTTCTACTTTTTGTGGAACAGATGGCTATTTTACATAAAGAAAAGCAAGCTCCTTGTTGTAAAAAATAACCCAGTTATCTAGGAATCCTACATAACTCTAATTAGCTCAAGAAGGATAACACTTCTAACAATGATGTCCTGTTATAAACCGATGAAGATATCTCACTCCTGAAGATTTTGGAAACATATATGTACATTGTTTCCCCTGAAAAAACGAATGATGGTTATAAAACTTTTCTTTCAGGAAAAAAAAATCACCCTAATATTGGTGAGAGTAAGGTATACAGTCAATCTTCACTTAATATCGGTAAGTTCTTAGAAACTGTGACTGAAGCAGAATGATGTGTGACAAAACCCATGCTACCATTAAGAAAAGAAGGATGCACACTGGGACAACTCAGACGCAGCAATCCACCTCACGCACACACCTTTGGGATATGGGAGGATACAAGTTCCCCGAGACAACTCCACAGAGACCACGGCCACGGCCAGGAACCGTCTTTTCCTTCATCAACGTTATAACGAAACAACTTTGAAAAAATGACATTATTCGAGAACACTGCTGCACTTGCATGATCCTTTACATGTGTTATCTTATTGGATCAACATTACAGTCTTGGCATAGATACTGTTATTTTTTTCTGTCTCGTGAATGAGGAAGCTGAAGATCAGAAAGTCCTGACAGCTAGTACACAACACTGCTCCTCCTACTTTACCCCAGTACTGACGAGATGGGGCTAGTGTGAGTGGGGAGAGAGGCAGAGACAAAGCTGATTCTTCACGTGGCCCCCCCATGCTGCCTCTTCTGCAGAAACAACCAAACCAAGGAACTCTCACCTGGTGACTCTGCAAGGTGCTCTTGCTTCTCTTCTCTGTCCTGAAACTGAATTAAATGCGACCACAAAGCCGACTTTCCCTGAAAGTACAAGGGATATAAAAATTTTCATTTTATAAGAAATAATTCATAAAAAAATAATTTCTCATCAAAACCATTCACGCTGAAACAGCCATTGTGAAGTCTGTCGACCCAAGCGCATCCGTTCCTAGCTGTGTGACACCACGAGGGTCACTCTTTGCCTCACTGAGAACACTGGCAACAGCTGGGAACGGCAGCTACTAAGCACGAGGCCAGAAGTGGAGGCACACAGGTCGCTGACTCCGGCTTGCTTGTTTCTTAGTTGTATGTGTTAGGGCTGTCTATGCTAGCCACACCAGAAACCAGGGAATTAAGAGGCTCTAGCAGCACATGATGTTTTTGCACATCCATATGCAAAATAAGTTTCAATATATGGAATGGCAACCAGAGAAGAAAGTTGGGACAAGAGGAGAGAGAGACAAGGGAAAGAAGGAAGAAATATGCACCCGACTGAAACAACAAAACAGCACAAAACCAGAAAGGGACAGGAGAGAGACAAAAGCAAAGAAACCATCTTAATTTTTTTTTTTTTTAAATTTTCCATTCTGAAGAACTAGCTAACTTAACGTGAAAAGAAGTGCCAATTCTGGCTGGCAGACATCTTTGCTGGACAGTGACACGGGCCCTGAGTGGACTCCACGGGGACAGAGCCTCTGCAGAGAGGGGGCTGCTCCATCCTTTCCTGTGTAACAGGAAAGAGCCGCCCGCCTCCTAATCACGGGTTAGGTTTTCTTTTTCTGGAATCGAAACGCCCGGGGTGCATTGCTAGTCATCCTGTGACAAGGAAGCCGACCCTTTCATTACGATGGTGTCCTTTTCTCCTCCTCCATGTCCTAACAGGGCCCCTAACGGCCATGTCGCCACGGCGCGGAGACAGTTGTTACCTGCTTGACCAGCAAGCCGTGGCTCCAGATCCTCTCCAGCAGGTCACAGAGGCTGGCGATCAAGGTGTTCTCCTCCAAGCCCGTGATGTTGGCTTCTCCGTGGCCCAGTTCCACGGCTTCGTGGCCCATCTTCTCCACCAGCATGCGTTTGGTCTGAAAACATCACATGTGGCCACAAGTGTTATCCCAGCAGTGAGGCCAGAGCCCAAGGCCATCACCGGATCAGGAGGCCAGGGGTCCCTGCATTATACTCTAATTGCAGATCTGTAGTCACCTTGGGAAAAGTGTCTTAATGTCCGTGGTCAACTCACTGGAGAAATACCATGTATACTTTTACCATTTTGTCAGAGAAACAGAGGGTCACTAAAGAGACATTTTGAAACCACTTTAAAGTACCCCCATGTAAACATGTAAATGTTTATGCACGACACTTCTCAGATTACTAACGTGCGTAACGCTGAGGAATTACACTGGACCTAGAAAATGCGCTGTCAGAAGCTAAGACCCTACCCTGCCACCATAGCTCACCCCACTGCCCCCCGCCTTAGCAAACGGACAGTATTTGCACTTAGTTCTGACTGCACTGAGGCAGAAGCCACAAGACAAAGCGGAACTCTCTCTGAGTGCACTAGGTTTCTCTCTCTCTTTTTCTTTCTCTTTCTCCTTTTCTGTTTCATTTCTTGTGTGCCCATGAGCATGCACGGAAATCAGGTTCAGGTAAGCTGATTGACAGCAGTCTTAGCTGCTCTTATAAACTGTAAAGCGAGGGGGAATCTAGTTCCTTTCGGCAGGGACCTTGTCTGTCTGATTCAGCGCTGACTGCAGATGCTAAAAATAGGGCATTTATTGAATGCACACAGAGCAAGTCCTGGAGAAGTGACTGACGAATGAATGAATAAAATTACTGGTTAAAATGTTCCGAGGTTTGTCCATTTGTATTGCTACGTCTGGTAAATACAGATATCAGAGAGGAGACTGGTGGATAATATACAAAAGCCCACAACACAGCGAGCATCTTCTTTATGGACCTGCTCACACATGTATGGCACAGATAAGGTTCCAACAGATGCACATACAGACACACACACACATAAATGCGCTGTCTTTTGCATAAGATGACAACAGCCCTGACACAGCTTCTGACTAGCTTAATAGCCATTCATGTCACAGAGGAAGACAGCCATGGCTGAAAAGGGCACAAAACTGTGCAGGGCTCCGAGGTCACTGATTCTATGGGCCCCGGAGGAGCCATGGAGGCTCATGACTTCGGGAGAAAGCACATGAGGTTTGGGCCCCGGTACAAGTTTTCTTCTAGGGAAACTGCGGACTCAAACAGGGTGACCTCTGCTCATCGCAGCCCCACACGGGGAGTAACTGTGAATGCGCATCATGTCCTCCCACCTGAGAGTCATACGTACCTTCATCCTACATTCCTTTAATAAGCCTTCTACAAATTTCCAGTTGGTCCGTGCAATCACGGCAGGAGAGAGGTCTGACAGTTTGGGTTGCCTCAGGTTTTTTCCTAAGCTTCGTGCCTCTTGCATGTATTTCTAAAAAATCAAAGAGCATTTTTAATGCATAGTCATCAGATATTCTTCTGACCTATTTAACCTTGGATAAAAGCAAGTGTGGGAACAACGGAAGTGTACACGTGCAGCAGCAGCAGCAACTCAGGTTTCAGTGAGCCAGAAGGCAAAGGAGAGGGGCCCTGTGCTCCCACCAACCGTCAGCCCCGTGAAAACGGGGACAGAAACCCCATCAGGTTAAAACGCATACAAAACGAGACGGAACTGCTTCTAGTTCGGTCTCTTCATTGGAAAGACCCGAGGTTGTGATTAGTCAGGAACATGGCTGGAATGAAAAAACTAGGCGTCTGGTTCTGCAGGAACCCAGTGATTCTCCGGCCACTGGTTTCCCACACCTCTCTCTGCAGATCAGGAGGCTCTCGGGCACTGCTCTGCTCCCAGCCCAACCCTTTACTCACATCCAGTCACAGCAGGAACTCTAGAATCCGGGGACAACTGATTTTAGGACCACAGGCGTTCTGTTTATTCGTAAGACGGGCATAAAACAAGCCCAGCTCCCTCATGAGAAAGGCTCTGGGACCACTCTGAAAAGTGGCCCACACGCAGGAGGCCGAGCGTTCCTGTGACATGTTCGTCCTGTGCCTTCTTCCACGACCCAGAGAAAGTGGGAACATCGCCATGCTTGGGCTGGCTCAGAGGGTAGCTGAGAAACCCAGTCCACTGAGCTTGAGCTTTGGTTAGTACATCCCCAGGAAAAAAACACAATCACTATACATATGATGTGTGCGGAACGCCTGCTGGCTCTTTCTGTGCCACCTGCAAAAGCTCATTCAGGTACCTTATGCTTGCTTCAGGACCACAGGACAGAATCCCCCAAACTCCACGAACCGAAGGACCATATTTAGAGAATAACTACTCTAAATTATATAGTAAAACTAGCAGTTTGTTGTGGAGGGAGAGAGATTGCTAGCCAGAGCATCCTCCCACAGACATATGGGAAATCTATCTTACTATCTTAAGGGCAGAATTTGAAACTGTAAGTGAAGATGTGTAAAATCCTTTGCATTCTTTAAATGAAAGGGAATTTATACATTTAGTGTATTTCTCCTCCAGGAAAAAAATAATCTGATAAATCTGTTATAAATTGTTTTAAAAATCCCACTGATCAGGAATTCAACGGACTAGTTTACCTATTTCCCAACTCTTCTGATGAAATGCCACATGAACAAAATGACCTATTTCTTTTCCTGTGCAACCATTTTAAATAGAGGTATGAAAATAAAATGAACTCCACAAGCATTGAGTTCCTCTTTCTGCTTCGAGCCATTTTTAGAAGGAAAGCTGGGAATGAGAGACAACTATCACCACTAGGAAACTAAGTGTTAACAGGCCTATTGCAATATCCTGAAGGTCAGTTTTCAAAGAAATAAAAGCAGGAAATAAAGTCTTAGAAAAAACTAACCTGAGATAGAGGCAGGGATCCCATGTGAGAATTATATCTGCAATTCCTATTATTTCAGGTTGTACTAATGTTATTTGGAATATTACGAATCAGAGATAGGAGATTGGTAAAAACAATGTTATCTGGTGAGGTTCTGTTTCTCCCCCATCCTCAGTTCCTCTGCCTCTAGGACTTGTGCAAATACAGAAATAATCACTACAAGACTCAATTCTCAAGAAGAGTTAAGTATGAAACTTGGCTTAGGAAGAAACACTGCCTCCAAAAAAAGAAATGAGGAGCATGGTCAGGCAAGAAGGTAGGGAGAAAGAATAACTGGATTACTAATTAAGCACTACCTAAAACTTGTGTTCTAGTGTATAAATGGAAAGTTAGAATAGGGCTGCCCTTTGAGTGTGTGAAGAGAAGAACACTGTAAAATTGAGTAAATTTATGCTAATGTCATAACAGGAACAAATTACAACAAAAAGTCCTCCTGCCCTGAGGGTGGATGGTTAGGGCCACTTGGTATGTGGGGTTACGGAAGAGGACCTGCCTGGAAGTCAGGAGTCCTGGGCTGTAAGCTGGTGCTGCCTTTGCGTATCCATCTAGCTTTGGACAAGTTGCTTGGACTTCAGTGACCTCAAAGGTTTCCCTTAGTGCTAAGATTCTACCTTGATGACTGGATTTGATGACCACATTAAACACAGACCAGAAAGGGTAAATTAAAATGCTGTGGAGATAAAACCTAACCAAAAAGCTGATTAAAAGTAAATCATTTCTGCAAAATGCTTAGTAAACAAAAGGGAGTCTAAATATTTAATATAGTTTCATTTGGAAGAAAAATAATTTGCTAAATCTTGTTCTCTGTCCTCCCTGCCATCACACTGATTAGGGACTTGAAGATTCCCTGCCAACAGCATAGGATTCCTCGTGTTAGCACACACCACCATGAAAAGGTGCCAAACACAAGAGGCAGTGAAATGCAGAATGGAGAGGCTGTGTGTTCGTGTCTCGGGGTGACGTGGGCCATGCTACAGCTCTGTGCACTCACAAGGAACACCGAAGGCGAAATTTGGGAACATCTGCAAAGCACTTTCAGGTTAAGAACATACCAGGCAGCACTCAGAGAAGGATTTTTTGGGAAGTCGTGCAGGAGGAGGTGGGCCCTGATCCCACTCCCAGAATGCCATGGAGTTCTGACAGACCAAAAGTTCCCTGGAAGGCTAAGAGGATGGAGAATGCCAAAGACAAAAAAAAAAAAAGGATATGGGAGAAAGAGACAAGCAAAATAAGCATGCATATGATAAACGCATAGCAAAAGAAAAAGGAGAAAATACAGTAGCACAAAGAAAAGCACTACATAAATTCAGTTCTTAAGAAAATGTTTAAATCATATAGGCATAAACAAAAAAGAAATATATATTTAAAATGTTTTCTGCTTTATTTTTACATATTTGAGTGTAGACTATAGTTAATAGATTTTCTGATTGCATTTTTTCCCTTTTGATCTCAAGAAATAATAACTTATTTAAAATTACTCAAATATATAATTATGGTTTTATTTTCCAAGTAGTACAAATAAAGCATAGGATCGTAATTTTAAAATAACCTAAAAAAAACTTTTAAAATGCTGTCAGCAAGACAAAGATGAAGATGAAAACGAAGACAAAGACCAAGCAGAAACATCTTTACTTACTATGTTTAAATTATGCTTAAAATAATGTCTATGCTTCTTATAAATTTTTTTCCCTAGAGGAGATATATTGACCAAAAATTTATCTTAAACTTGTAATTGTGATACACAAGGAGACTTGCATTCGAGCCTTTTTCAGATGTACTAAAATTACAAAAATGGGGGGAAAAAGGTGTTTTCAACTCTAAGTATAAAAGGATTACTATTTAAAATATAACTGAACTGCATTTTTAAAAAGAATGGGAAAAACCCTATACAATGACACCTGCCGGTCTGTGTGAGCCTAGCTGGTGGCTCTGCATCCAACATCCCAGGAAGGCAGCCCACATACCTCCCTCAAGTCGTTGTCCAGGCCCACGTGCTCGGAATGCTGGCGGAGGCGGTCTTTCCTGCGCTGCGTGGTGGCGCTCCGACTCACCCAGCGACTGAAAAACAGGATCCAGAGGTGACAACAAACAAACGCAAGCAATGTCGTCACTTAACTTTAAAATAGAAGGAACTGTTCAAAAACAAAAGACTGACAGTACTTATTCTTCTTTTTAAAACACATGACAGCTTTACTGAGCTACAACTTAAATACCATACAATCAACCCATTTAAAGCGTGTAGTTAAGTGGTGTTCAGTATATTCAAAGAGATGTGTAATCATCATCACAATCAAGACTTTTTTTTAAAAAAAAGCATAGTTATCCCCTCTGTAATGACCGTCTCCTTTCCAGCTTGCCCACCCAACACAACCCCAAACCCTGAGTGAATAATATTACCCCCTCACTTCCTTAGTCTCATACCCACGTAGGTTTTCTATTTAATTCATGATTTTTCAAGAATCACTTTACCTGCCCTTTATCAAGTCTCCCCCAACCCCCTCAAAGACTATTTCTACACTTTTCACTTTATTCTCGGGTACCTCCACACAACTGAAGACCCACCTTGCCTCCTTCCTCATGCCCTCTATTTAGTGATGCACAAACATAGACAGCTCGTCTTTCTCCTAATCCCAAAGTATGAAATATATTGGCCATGCCTCAAAACTATTTTCCACCTATATCCCTGACCAATTTTCTCTTGCCTTCTTCAGCCTGCTCTATTCATCACCACCTTTGCTGCCAATCCTATTTTTCTCTCCCACCTGAATATTTCCTTTCAGTTTACAAGCATGCTGACCCTCTATAGTTATATTGAAGTCTCTTTCTTCACTCCTCTTATGTAAAAACTAGAGGCCAGGTGCATGAAATTTGTGCATGGGGTGTATGTCCCTAAGCCCAGCCTGCACCCTCTCCAATCTGGGACCCCTCATTAAATGGACAGTCAGACATCACTCTCACAATCCAGGACTGCTGGCTCCCAACTGTTCACCTGCCTGCCTTCCTGATTGCCCCTAACTGCTTCTGCCAGCCAGCCTGATCATCCCCTAACCACTCCCCTGCCAGCCTGATTGATGCCTAATTGCTCCCCTTCCAGCATGATCACCCCTCCCTGCAGGCCTGGTCCTGCCCAACTGCTCTCCCCTGCAGGCCTGGGTCCCTCCAACTGCCCTTCCCTACAGGCCCAGTCGCCCCCAACTTCTTGATCTGGTTAAATAATTAATTTATTCTTTGCATTATTAAACCTTATTTACTAAGCATAATTTTACCAAAGATAATCATATTTGCTGAATCACTAAGGACTGCTTATTTGCCTTTGTCTTGTAAACAGCATATTAAATTTTCGCTAACAGTTGATCAACCACTTACACGGGCATGGTTATAAATCCCTTTACCCTGAAATTAGTTCTGAGATATTTTTTCTTTCAGACTACAGTCTCTCTGAAAATACAAAGCTTGTGCTCTGTGTGGAAATGGGAAACCTTGAGATTATATATAAGATTAAAAGCAAAAAAATATGGCAGTAAGATGTAAAAACTGAAGTATTCCCTCCTCAGGGCCCCCTCCTTCCCTTCCCTGCTTTATATTCTTCATCATAAATCTTATCACTGCCTGGCAGGTTATTTATTTTACTTAATTAAGTTTTTTTTTGTTTCTTTTCTCCTACCTGAAAGCAAAGATTTTGGTTGTTTTGTTTATTGCTAGGCATTCAGTATGTAAGACAGTGCCTTACATTTAGGAGGAGCTCCATAAATACTTGCCAAATGAATGAATGAGCAATCTAATGCTATCCAAAGGAAATAAAACTATTAAAATGAAAAGTCTCCCTGCATCGAAGTGATTCAAATGGGATATTTTATAAATAAGAAAATAGTGAATAAATCGATGGTTAATCTGTTTTGATGGAAAATTCTCACCCATTTCTGAAAAATTATATCTAACACCCTGACCTGGAAAGTGTGAATTCCCAACAGTCGGCATCTCTGAGCACATTTTCAAGTTCAGTGTTTATGAAAGTAGGGTCAGCTCTAATGGAGGGTAAAACCCTGCCAATTAACTGAACACACTGCAGTTTCTTTTCCTTTAAAAGCCTAATATTTATCATTATAAATCTCTACTCCTTACAAATCTGTCACAAAATTTGGAAATGTTCATCACTGCTTTATTAAAAGCATCTTGGAAAATAAAGAGTCAAATACCAAAAATTCTGCAACATATATAGTACAGCACATCATCTGAATGGTAGAAACATCATAGTGTTACCATCACAATTAGCTGGTATATTAATGACAGAAAAAGAGCAAAAGGGAGGCAAGACATTATAAGCATGGTCACCTGGGCAGCTTCACAGGAAGCTACAATCCACACCTGTCCATTCCCTGCAAATCACCGGGGGAAGGGGTCCAACAAAGGGGAATGGGCACATGCACGTCACACAAGTCAGTGTGACGTAGGGAAAGTGCGACCCTGTCCATCCCCATGCAAGCCCACAAACACTTGGGAACTCATAGCCCCTAGACAGAGGTCTCTCTCTCTCTGCTGTTCTGCTTTTGCTTTGCTACCGCTTCCTTGCATTCTCTTGCTCTGTGACTTGCCTGCCATGTGGTCTTAAGTAGTTGCATGGCCCATGACCATGTGGACCCCCCGTGCACTAGACTGCAGCTGGGAACACAAGCCAAGCGAGCCAGATGCTGGATTGGACTGGACTTTAATATGGAGCAGAAACTCTGGGCAGGGGCCTTAATTCTTGCTCTAAAGACAAGGCTGGGCATTTTCCACGGCAAGATGGAGGGAGAAGGAACCTTAGAAAAAACCTCCTTAATTTTACATCACAATACCTCATCCTCCTGTGCAGGTCTCAGGAAATACCTTTCCTTGCAACACTACAAGAATCCCACTTCCACCGGACACAAAGGGCATCCCACTGGTAATACTCTTAGGCCATCTCTTAAGAGCCTTCATATTACTTATTCCAAGTGTGCCACTTCGGCCAAAAGGCATAATTCCACTGATTCTACATTTGCCTTCTGAAAACTTAGGTGGCTCAATGCCACGTCCATGTTGTGTTTACTTCAGTCTTCCAGCCCATTTCTTTGCCACAACCTGGCTTCTTTTCCCCTCACTTTCTCTGATTCTCTTTAATTAGATCACAGCTGTAAAATAGTATTTTCAGATGAGAAGATAGGAAAGTAATTCCAGTTTGTCCAAAGTTCCTGAGCTTGTTAGTGGTTAAGAATGAACTAAGTTTCAGAATTGCTGATTTCCCAAAGTTCTTTCGAACTTAGTGTAGTCCACATTAATAACCTTCTTTGCATCTTTTCTTCTAAAACACTTGCTAAAACACTTGTATTCACCTAAAACCAAGGACTCCCCTAAACCCAAATAACTGAGCCCATTTCTAACTACATTCAGATATTTTCTGAAAGGAATCATCTTTCAACAGGATTTATCTTTCTTTTTGTTTGTTTTGCAATTTTTGCACTCGGTGCTTAAAAAATATAAAGATGGTGTTATGGGTTGAATTGTGTCCCCCAAACAGATACTTTGACGTTTTAACTCCAATACTTGTGAATGTGACCTTATTTAAAAATAGGGTCTTTGTAGATGTAATAAAGTTTAAGGTCATCAGAGCAAGTCCTAAACCAACAAGACCAGTGTGCTTATAAAAAGAGGAAAGTTTGGACACATATGCAGAGAGATGACACTCATGTCAACAGGAAGACAGTTTTGCTACTAGAAACCAAGAGATGGGGCTACCGGAAATTGGAAGAGGCAAGGAAGGATCCTCCCATAAAAGCCTTGCCAATACCTTGATTCTGGATTTCCCCCTTCCAGAACTGTAAAACAATCTATATCTGTTGTTGTTGATTTAAAAAAAAAAAAAAAAAAAAGGTATTTTTTATTGATTTCAGAGAGGAAGGGAGAGGGAGAGATAGAAACATCAATGATGAGAATCATTGGTTAGCTGCTTCCTGCACGCCCTCTCCTGGAGATCGAGCCTGCAACCCAGGCAGGTGCCCTAAGCAGGCATCGAACCGTGATCTCCTGGTTCAGAGTTCGATGCTCAACCACTGAGCCAGGCCGGCTGGGCAATTTTCTGTTGTTTTAAGTCACCACATTTGTAGTACTTTGTGACCGCAATCCTCGGAAACTAATACAGATAGTAAAATGATACAGATAATGAAAGTACAACTTTTATAATTCCATCAGACAGTATTAGCATTATAGTTAAACACAGTCAAAGAAAAGCTATTCCCAAGTACACATTACCTAAAAAAAAGAAAATCTCTAGTCTTTGGATTCTTTTACATGAGCAAATTAAAAGTCAAACTCTACCTCAAATGAGTTAATTTGGCCTTTCAAAAAGGTAATCAGATTGGTAAAATGTTTAATGGCTAAGCGATAATCCATTAGAGTTGCAGAACACACACCCTTCATTCATTCCTCAACCAACTACTTGCGTAAAGAATGTGCTTACTTGTTATTAGTTGGCCCTGTTGCCAAGACATCGGACTGTAACTTTGGAAAGAACCCCTGCTCATATTTGCCTTGACCAATTTTCATATCAAGTAGATGTGGGTGGATTGCAGTGTGATCCATTTTCATCAGCCGCTGCTCAACTGACTGGGCTATAAATGGAATTTATAACAAATTAGAGACATTGGCTAAGCCTTAAAAAATAATTCTTCCTCCATTCATGCACACCTACAACTCATTCTTTCTGACATCCCGAAACAGATTTTTACCAAAACTTTTCAAAATAAGTGTACTATAAGTACAAAACAAAGGATAATCTTAAGTAAATGTTGAATAATTAATTTTCACAATATTTCTGCCTTTGTCAAAAGTAAGGCAGTGGGGATAAAAAAAAAAAATCATAAAAAATGTCCCATAAGTGGGAAATTCAACATTCTTAATGGATGGCAAATATTTCCCTTGAGCTGAAAGACAGGTAAAGAGAAGGGAAACAGCAAGTATAGAAGCCTATTATACTAACTGTATTTCTTTGTACAAAGACCTATTAAATGGTTGTGGTTCTTTTTGTAAAAGCAAGGAATTTGTAAAACAAGAAATTATGTGAAGTTATTTTTAGTAACAGTCACATTCTCATTAGTAGGAGTGTCTATTAGATCAAGAGGGGTAATGCGGAGACAAATCAAACAAGCAGGCATTTAGAAAATGTCCAGAGGATAAAAAACTGACCTTTTAAAGAATGGGACAGAGTTAAAAGACAGGAATTGCTCAATATTCCTATTTTTAAACCACTGAAAGTTAGGGACTGTTTCAAAGACCCAAGAAATAGTGAATTATGTCTTTGGCTAAAAAAAAAAAAAAAAATTGGCCCTAGCCGGTTTGGCTCAGAGGATTGAGTGTCAGCCTGTGGACCTAAGGGTCCCGAGTTTGATTCGGGTCAAAGGCACATGCCCTGGTTGGAGGCTAGATCCCCAGTGGGGAGCATGCATGAGGCAGCTGATCAGTGATTCTCTCTCATTGATGTTTCTATCTTTTCCTCTCCTTCTCCCTTCCTTTCTGAAATCAATAAAAAGATATATTTTTTTTAAAGTCACATTGACTTTAAAAAAAATCTGGACTTAAATGTTTTTCATTAACTGAATTTTCAAGAACAAATGTAGTATTTGAGAATCAAGGCTATGTCTCCAATCCTCTGCCTAGAAATTACTAATACAGGAGGACCAGCAAGGACTGTGGTTGTGTGATAAATAGAACACACTGCGGAACTGCTAACGCTGGGATTATCTTGCCTCTTTCAAAACCACAGATTTAGTATTGCCAGTTATTGCCCAAACATAGTCTAAAAAAATTATTTTTTTGGGTGGGAAGGGATCTGTCCATGACACTCTACTCTTGTGAGAAGAACATGCTTACACCTTCTTATGTGAGATCAGTGCTTCACCAAAACGGTTGTTTGTATCTGATGATAATAGGATTAAGGGAAGCTTTGATGAATTTACTATTACCCTCTATGACATAACCTCAAAATGTTAAACTTCCCTAATTTTTCTTCATAGAAATTTATCCAAAATTTTTTTGAACTTCATTTTATTTTTAATGCATAACTTGAAACTTATCTTGAAACATAGTCCTTATGTTCTATGCTGGGCAAAAAGGATGCCAAGATTTGTTTTAAAAATATTTTTTTAATTGATTTCAGAGAGGAAAAGAGAGGAGGGGTGGGGGGAGAGAGAGAGAGAAATATCAATGATGAAAATTATTGATCGGTTGCTTCCTGCATGCCCCCTACTGGGGATCGAGCCCACAACATGGGCATGGACCCGGGACTGGAATCGAACCTGGGACTCTTCTGTCTGCAGGCCGAGGCTCTATCCAGTGAGCCAAACCAGCGGATGCCATGTTTTAATGTGAAATGATATTTAATTTTCAGCAATGACCCCTGGCACTCCACAGCCCAATTTATGCTCTCAATGCTTCCTAATATTTATAAAGCATAATTAACAGATGGTTTAGGCAAAATAATGCTTAGATTCATGGCATGAAGTTCCTGCCAATTTTATGTTCCATGAAATACTACAAAATTCCATCTCTGCCAACTAGTGCCTCTGTCCTTGTGAAAGGAAAATGAGCTTCAGTTTTTTCCGTTGGATTTAAGTGACAGAGAAATCCATCTGATACTGAGTTATTCTCCTCTAGTTAGGAATCTTTTTAAAACATAAAAATCATAATTCACAATGAGCTACTCTCAGGTTTACATGTAAGACTGCCATAGGGAACATAATGCAGTTACTTTTCAGTGATTATGCCACCAGTGAATACTGAACATTCAGAGATGATTAAATGCCTGCTTTAAGAGGTCACAGCTGTTATACTTTCAAGGGTTTGTGCCAATATCCAGTTTCTGTGATTGGTAAGGGAAAAGCAAACTGCATTACGGTCAACTTGTTGCCTTTCTGCACAGAAATCGTGAGGTTCTGGTGCCACAATGTCAACAGCAGATAACCTCTGCCTAAAGAATTCACCTGCAAATCAAAATCCTTTTTAGTGAGAGGCAAAAGAGAAACAACAAGAGACAAAAACAATACACAATAAAAATCCAATGCTGACAACAAAATCCCACCCTTCGCAGCATATGCTGGAGGAGAGGGGAAGGCAATTTCATCCGATAAAAGAACAATTGTGCCCTCTTTGAGAAATGAACAGTCACAGCCAGCTGCCTCCTTTTACTTTTAAAAAAAGTCTCTCATAAATTAAATTCCTGGGAGCCTGCTGACTGCTTAGGCTGAATTTCATTTTCATATCTGTTAAATCTATCATGGTACATTATCAAGAGTATTATGTAATTTCTGACATGATAGTGGGAGCATCAGATTCTCTAAGAGGCTGAAAGAAAATCTATGTTAATTGAAAAGATTTCTGGAAGCACATAGGGGAATCGGTGCTGAGCTCCATTAAAAAAAGTTCTGTCAGAAAGGGAGGCGTGAAGTTGGCTCAAAAAGGCATTATACTCTTCGGATGGCCTTGAAAGCACTAGAAGTCAGACGAGACTCCAGCAGGAGAAAATCCACTTATTCATTCTGTCCCTCAATTTCCTGAGACACAGCAGTACTTCTGCTCCCTGAAAGGCTCCTAGGATCTACCCTCAAGAGCACAACAGGACGATGGTCCAGCCAGCTCTAGGGAGACCTCTGTGGTTACATGAGACATTATTTATCTACTTCTCTCCTTCAAAATGCAGCACCTACAGCCTCACAACTCCCTGACTCTGATCTATGGACATAAAGTGACAAAGGCAAGTTCCAGAGCAGGGCAAAGACACTGCACATTTGCTATCTCCTTTTTCTCCAAATGAAAAACTGCTTTCTAATAGCTCCTACATTTGAAGAAATATTAAATCAAAGGAGCGGGCACTCACGTGATAAATGTTTACTTGGCAAACAAAGAGTTAGGAGCCAGGATGAATACATAAAATGGGGTGGACTGGTACATTTTACATGTTTCTTTGTTAAGTGCTTAGCTAACATCATAGTGAGGCTTCAGGGGCTAGAATCAGTCACATCTGGGTTCAAATCACGACTCCACCAAACACTGACTATTATAATGACTATTTATTTCGTAGACTACTATATTACATTGGCCTAAAACTCCTAATTCTTGGAGGGGAAAATTGGTGTCATGTTTAGGAAACTGCTAATTTGAATATGAGAATCCAGAGATGTAATCTCAATAAAGAAAAGCTATTATAATTAATGGCACCATTAAACTAAATATACAGTCATAGTTATGTAAATTAGACAGCATCTCAGATTTACTACTTTAAATTAATAATTATCTTTTCCTAGATAAAAAGAAAAGAAGCCAGAAGTAAAAAAAAAGCAACATAAACAGCAAGACATAAATTAAGATTTTTTTCCATTAAGGCGATAAAGAAAACACAGTAAGAATCATAGTAACCTTGTAATTATACTCCATTCAATTTATCGTTTTTCCTCTTCTAAGAGAAAAGGAATGTCAAGTAGGAATGGGATGGACATTAACTCACAGAAACAGAAGGGAACAAAACTAAAGAAAGTTCCTTTTACTTGAGGACAAGCCACCAAGTCTAAAACTAAAAATATTTTGGTTTATAAGGCCAACGATGTACACAAAACAATCGTGGATTTTAAGTTAATTTTAAAAGGCATGGCGAACGCACCTGCTTCTTTTAAAGTGCTGCATTTCTGATATATGGATGTCCGCAAGGTGGGTGCCCTCACATTGTACAGTCCTATCTTCTCAATCCGAGAGTCGAAGACCCGAAGCAAAGGGTCTTTCTCCTCCCACTGAGACATAATTTTGTTATCAATAAAGGTGGCAAACATCTGGGTTTCAATGAAGCGTGAAAGGAATGGCAGGTGTGGCTCAGGCTGATCACACAGAAAGGAAGCCTGTAATGAGATAATTAAAAAGTTATTAGGGCAAAGAGATCCACCTCAATATGACATGATAAACCCAAAAAATTATTTGTTGCTAAGGTCATTCTTAAAAAAAAAAAAAAAAAATCTTTGTTGTTGACAGTATTACAGATGTCTCCCTTTTTTCCACCACTGCCCCCCTCTACCTGGTTCCTACCCCGGCCCAGGCCATCACCACCTCCTATTGTCTGTGTCCATGGGTAACGCATAGATGCATATGTTCTTTGGTTAATCTTTTCCTATCCCCCTTCTTCCCTCAGATTCATCAGTCTGTCCCATGTTTCCATGCCTCGGTTCTGTTTTATTCATCGGTTTATTTTGTCCATTAGATTCCTTATTTGTTTAGTTTGATTTATTTTTTTTGAAATATTATCACATACAAAACTGACAAAATTCAAAAATTCTTAAAAATTCATTTTGCCTTCCTATCTCCTAATTTCATGAAAGTTCAGTTACTTAGGTCTTTATCTCTGATCCTACCTTTCAAACCTGATTTACACTCTGATACTCATGACCATCATGTAGAAAATAGAGCATCATTAGTGAAAGATGATGGGTCAGTTGCTACAGGACCATCGATCATCCACTTCATTGACCATCAAATTTGACCCCTTCAGTCGGGACCAGTTTGGCTCAGTGGATAGAGCGTCAGCCTGCGGACTGAAAGGTCCCAGGTTCGATTCCAGACAAGGGCATGTACCTTGGTTGCGGGCACATCCCTGGTGGAGGGTGTGCAAGAGGCAGCTGATCGATGATTCTCTCCCATTGATGTTTCTAACTCTCTATCCCTCTCTCTTCCAAACTGTGAAAAATCAATAAAATATATTAAAAAAAATTTTTTGACCCCTTCCCCCAGCCAGCGATCATTTCTTCTGCTGTTTCCAGCCTATGCAACATACCTCCAAGTCGTAAGGCAGTGAGGTGATTACCTGATACAATAATGATATATAAGCAATAACCTTAACTAAAAACCACATGGGGTTTGTCTTTACGGGTGGAATCTTTTTGTTCTTCTTCAAGTGGATATTTTACTAGGCCCCAACTCTGTCAGAGGCTGATGGGTGAGTATTAATTCAAGATCAGACTCCTTCTGGACTTGTGCTGACAGAATAGTCTGGGCCTTAACTAAAAATGTTTTCACTATCCCAAGCAAACCAAGCCTTTGGAAAAACGTGCACAACACACTCCTGTTACCCGTTTGTCTGCTGCACAGAATGGCTCAGTAAACTGTAATCAGTTTCTAATTCACACTGTTCCTTTGTGTGTGGTCCTTCAGGTCTCTGTGTGACTAGAAATCCTAGCTGCACTTTGGCACCAGCTGAAATTTGACGAGGAATGACTACTTCAAGCTGCTGGGTTGGTTTGACTTCTCGTTCTTCAGAGCAGATTCGAGGATGGGAGGGTAAGTTCTCATGTAAGATTACTCTCCTGAATATTTGTCGGCTTTTTCCTAGCACATTTCTCATTCTGAAACTTAAGAGAGCCTTTAAAAAACTTCCTTACAGAAACCCCCTTACTTAATTTAAGTGCTTCCATAGTTGTTATATTTACAAATCCAAATAGCCAGATCAAAGTTCACAGTAGTCTCTAGATAATCAGTTCATCTCCTTAAAAGGTATTTCACAGATAAACAGCAAGTTTATAGAGCAAAAAGCCTTCTCCACCGTAAACAAGGCCAAATGTCTGGCTTTCATATTCAGACCCTCACGGACCACATTTAAGGTCCGCAGAGACTTGGCTTGCACCGCTGGTATGTGACAGTCCTGTAAATTGTCCTAGTGAAAAATTAGATGATTACAAGCGTTCTGGAATCCGACATGAAACTTTCATTTCTCTAGGGGTTATATAAAAAGAATTCCATTTATAGTTTCAAGCTACATAAAGATTAAGGAGGAAGAAAGTACCAGGGCCTGATTTAGAAAAGGATTTGAATTACCCCAAGCATCATGAGTGTACACAGTAGTTCCAAACTGAACATGGGGAAAAAAAATGTGGAGAAATGGTTAAGCTTAAGGAGAAAGGAACCTGAGAGCACAGATACATCTGGAGAAGTGAAGGCTTCTGAAATTATTTAAGAAGTTTTCTCAAACATAAAGGGCACCAGAACTTAGCTGTTCATCAGAAAAGTATCTGATGAAATCAGAAAATAAGTCTTTTATACGTCCAACTCTTAAGAGAATTTTAAAATGAACGTTTATCTGGCAGATGCTCCAAGAGTGTAGATTAGGCTCTTAGAATGGGTTGGCCCCTTTAAGGGGTCTTTCACAACAAAAGGATACAATTTAGCGAAAAGCCGTAATTCATTCTAATGGTAGTATCATGCCCCAGCTACCACAGAGGCAGGGGACAGAACGACACCCTGGTGACCGGAAAGAGTCAATGCCCCTCCCTTAAGTGCTTTTGTGTGTGTGTGGGGGGGGGGGGGGAGGAAGAGGATATTGGGGAGGAGTGTCTGATGGATATGTCAAAAAAACCTGGCAGAATACTCTGGGGCAAACCTTAGTAAGACACCTCACCGCCAGCAGGACAATCAAAAGCTGGTGCTGCTTTCTGTCTTCCTTTCCCCAAAACTGGAAGAGAGTCTTAGGCTCATAGTCATAAAACCTAATTCATTCCTCTTTCTCTCTTTTTGATCCTCGGATGAGATAAAAATTTGGCCTCTGAAACCAAACTGTTTGTTACCTTTAACATGGACAAATCGTAACTTCATTATATTGAAGACAAAATATAAAAACAGGGGTTTATTAAAAAAGGAATAGGACTACGCCTGATCCTAACTAAAATAAAGAGTCAATGAAACTCTTACATGGTCAGATCGTGTTAACAGATTTTTAAAAAACCTTTGAAATTTGGGTTTCTGTCATTCAAACATTTTCAAGTATAGCACATTTAAAAAATGAAATGAAAGGCAATTTAATACAAAATTCAGTAGCCAACTTAATGAGCTACTTGGATTTGCTTTCCTGAGGAATTGTTTTATCTAGCGTAAAATACTGGTAAAAAAAAAAAAAAAGTTCTTAAAGAAAGGGGTGGGGAAATCTGTGTTTAAAAAAAAAAAAAAGTTAACAAAATCAAGTAAGAAAGCCCACTAAGAACCACAAAAGGAAACTAGGGCTCTCTTTACTTTGTCGAAGTTCTGCATCTGCTCCCGGTTGGTGAGCCAGGACTCCATGTCCTGGGCGCTCTGGATCACGAAGGACTCGTAGTCCGCGAACATCTGCGTGAAGCGGTTCGCGAACACCTCTCGGAGCTGCACGTTGAGCTGGTAGTCCCTGAGCTCCGCCTCTTCACACTGCAGCTTCAGATCCTTTTCCTTTTCACCCAGAGAGGCGGAGAGGTCCATTTTCTCCACCGTCACCCCGGACCGCTTGGCCAGCGCCTGGAGCCGGGCGATGGTTTCGTTGCCCTTCAGTAGCTCGTACATGCTGATGCTGTTTGGGGAGATGTTGCCGTTCTTCCTGTCGTTGACCAAGTCTTTCATAACCAGGTTCTTCAGCTGGGTGGCGCTCTCGCTGCCGTGCAGGCTGCCCTCGGGAGGGATCCCGAACTGAAGAAGAACCTCGGAGAGTTCCTGGATAAAATCCACTTTGTTGGGGAACTGTGGAAATTCTTCTGGCAACTCGATAAAATGGTTGTCAATATCCACAAAACACAAGTTAGCCTAAAAAAGAAGGGGGTTGGGGGAGAGAGAGAGAGAGAGAGAGAGAGAGAGAGAGAGAGAGAGAGAGAGAGAAAAGGTTTTAGAATAAAGAAATTTTAAGTTCTAAAATATCCTTTCCAATTATTAGAAACAAAAATCACAAATTACACAGCTTTTTATGTTAACCTTCTCAAGGTTAAGAACTTTTTATTCTTTAAAAGGAAATGTGTGCTGCCAGCAGTTTCCCCTTATGTGAGTATTCAATATCAGATTTAATATAAACAAATAATTTTCCTGGGTCTCATCAGTTTATTAAAATCAAGACATGCTTCTGTAATATACGGTATTCCCAAGTGAGTGAAGGTGCACGGACTGATAGTAAGTACTTCACAAATAGGAGGCACTGCGTGTGCTCACTGAATGAGCTTGAACTTTCAATGCCATTCCACGGCTCTACCACCGTTTGTAATTTAGAAATAACAACAACTGCTAAAATTTAGCAGCTATTGCCGAAACCGGTTTGGCTCAATGGATAGAGTGTCGGCTTGGGGACTGAAAGGTCCTGGGTTCGATTCCGGTCAAGGGCATGTACCTTGGTTGCGGGCACATCCTCAGTAGGGGGTGTGCAAGAGGCAGCTGATCGATGACTCTCTCTATCGATGTTTCTAAACTCTCTATTTCTCTCCCTTCCTCTCTGTACAAAATCAATAAAATATATTAATAAAATAAAATTTACGATAGCAGCTATAGTACTCCCCCACCCCCACCCCGGGGGAGGGGAAGAAATGGGATAAAATTGGCAATCCAAAATCACAGCAAATCCACACATTTTTACTTTATCCCAAATGAGCTTCAACCTCTTAGACAACAAACCCATTTCAGGAGTTATTAGGTAAGAACAGGAGGCAGAGGGAGGTGGCAAAAGCAGTGCTTAGAGAACGATAAATAATTAACCTTTGAATAGTTAAGAGCTGACTCAGGATCCTGATATTTCTGAGTTGAGGAAAAGAGGAGATAGAAATCAGAGGAAATGTTTTTATTTTCAACAAAAGGACTTTTAAATATTTTTCAAGTAGATATGGAAAATTCAAGGAGCCACGCACTGCATAACATTTTGGTTATCTCTCAGGTACTTGATTATAATAGGCTCCAAAATGGTATTTTTCTCTTACTGTTTAGACCCTCTTAATCTGAACTAGGTTGTGAGTATAAAGGAAGACTGCAAAACCCTAGTCTGGGGAAGGAAGGGACACATAAAACTGATCCTGACTGCAGGAGGGGCTGAACACAGGACATGGGGTGCAAGTCAACAAACAGAATAGAAAGCTTCATCTTTGTTTCCCCATCTCCCCCCTACCCATCCAGCCCCACCCTCACCCCCGCCTCCCAGGTCAGCAAGGGGAGAATTCACATGGCCCTCGGATCCTGAATGCTGAGGAAAGGCGAAAACAGGAGAGCCAACAGTTGTATCTCTGTTTTTCTCTTTTTCTCTTCATGTTAGAAATTGATGAGCAAGAAGAATAGCAAAGTTCCAAATCAAGCTCAATACAAACTCAATATATCTTCATCTAAAAACAGAGAACCAACAGTAACTTCTTCAAGTGTGGCGTAGCCTTTGAGTCTAACCCATTAGTTCTGCCGACAGAGAAACTGAGGCCCAAAAAAGGCAGGCGACTTCCTGACACCTGTCTCAGATATGCATTCTCAAGGAGCCTGGTGGCTTAAGGGATTTTTTTCCTGACACCTTTCCTCTTCTCCAGTGTCAACAGAAGAAGAGCTTGAGTCACATCTTGCTGAAGACAGTAGTGTTGCTTACAGCTTTCTTTAAATCCAAATCTTTACATGTGTTTTAGTCTCTAGAAAGCAGGCTATATTGAAAAGCTTACAGGGAGAAAGTAGGTCACCATAATTCAAACGGATGATTCAACATCTTTAAAATGGAAGAAAAAATCCACTACCTTGCTAATCTAAATGTTAACCAGCAACCTCGCACCACTTACATTTTGTACTGCTTCCATTTAAGGCCTTCCTGCTATCCTTTTTTATCCCTCACCTTCTCCTAGGAGAAGAAAAAGAGTGATGCATTTTGGGAAATTTTAAAGCTTGTTATGCTCATGTCATCACTGCTAAGCTGAAAGTGGATGGCAAGGCTACTGGCCTGGCTCTGTGTTCCCACGAGACTCTCTGTGTCTGGAGAGAAGAGCCCAAATTGGGGCTTTAACACAAAGTAGAAATGGGAAATGAGAACTTTTGTTATAAAAATTTATTGAAGCACTCTAGGTGGTTTGGCTCCGTGGACAGTGTCGGCCTGCAGACTGAAGAGTCCCGGGTTCAATTCTGGTCAAGGGCACATGCCTGGGTTGCAGGTTTGATCCCCAGAAGGGGGCATACAGGAGGCAACTGACTGGTGATTCTCATTATTAAAGTTTCTATCTCTCCCTCCGCCTTATTCTCTGAATCAATAAATTTTTTTTTTTTAAAGTAAGGTGTCATCCTATGCAATTATTCCTCAGTGCTATATCCTTCCACCCTCATCCCCAATCCCCAAAAGAAACAACAACAAACAGCTCCCTGTGCCCATCATTTGGAATCATGGGGAAAGGGAGTGGGTGGTTAATTCTAAGTCTATGTAGTAACATCAGTCAACTAACAACTAAAATCATACGTTCTTATAACAACCATTTCGTAAACATTTTCACAACTATTCTAAGAAGCCTTGTTATTATTATTTTTAGCTATTATTTTACTTTACAGTTTTCAGAAAAAGGTGATGGTGGTGGTGACTATTACTAGTGAGCTTATTTAAGTACGTTTTTAAAATGGCTATTTTTATACTTATTTCCTCCCAAAATTATGTGAAGTAAATGACTTCATCTCATAAAATGATACCAGAGCAAAGCGATACACTTTCCTCTGAAAGCCATGCACTAATTTATACTTTCTATACAGAAGCACTGCTATTGTCACAGCTGATCGAAGTAATTTCATATTATTCTACTCCATGAATAAACAGATGGGTATGTGCATTTATTGAACACTGATGATTTAATAAATAAAAATTAGATATTACTGTAAAACTTACACAAATTTTAAGTTTATCTTTAGAGTCAGAGGATACACATAGACAGAGACAGAAAGATTTCCCAACTACATCAAGGCAGTATTTTTAAAAAAATATATTTTTATTGACTTCAGAGAGGAAGAGAGAGGGAAAGATAGAAATATCAATGATAAGAGAGAATCATTGATTGGCTGCCTCCTGCATGCTGCTGTACTGAGGATCGAGCCCACAACTTGGCATGTGTCTGGTATGTGCCCTTAACCAGAATCGAACCAGGGATCCTTCAGCCTGAAGGCCGATGTTCTATCCACTGAGCCAAAACAACTAGGGCGGTAGCATCTTAAAATCCTCAACTATTATTACTCATGCAAAAAAAATGGAATAATAATATTTATATATAAACAAAGGATCTCATAAAGTATCATCTGATTAACATACAAATAGACCAGATACTCAAGAAACTAAAACATGTAACTGTTTAAGACTTTAAAACAAAATGCATTTGGCTAGTCTATTTCTTTTTCCTTGAAAATTTAAAGGATTTATGTCTTTAAGCCATCACGATACTGAGATTAATTTAATAAAAGAGAAAACATAAGCATTCAGGTATCAGAAAAAAAGAAGCGTAAAGCAGAAAGCATACAATAAAGCTTAAAAAGACCAAGACAGTCTGCATGTGTGTCTCATATTATCTGAATCATGCTTATTTTCCCCAGAACAAAAATGCTAATTTTGGTAGGAAAATGTTCATTAGAATAAAGCAATGGATGATTAGAGAAATCATTACTGCATATAATGGCTACAGCTTAGTGTGTTAATTTTAAATTCACTTATTAAAATGAGACATTCTATGGGAAATAAGGAAAAAAAAGTGAAGCACAGCACAAAAGATTTTATTAAGAAAGGTGCTAATTAAGAGCTAATCATATAATTAACCATTTTATGTTTTTTAATAGGTCATGACACTCATCGATGTTTCATTTCAAAGGCTTAACACTATAATTCTGAGGACTGTAAACAACAGCTACAAACCAGATTTAAAATGCTTTCAAAAGTTCCTGTTTACTTTCTTCTTAAATAATGTTGGAAAATACAACCCACAGAAAGCATAGTAACTTTAAGGGGCCTAAAAACTAGGGGTTAGAATTCTTATCTCTACCAACTAGCTAAGCTGACACTTAGAAAAAGTTGATAACTAGCCTTAGGCCAAAAACAAAGAATACTAAAGCACTTGATATTTCCATTATCCCTAGCTTGCTGAAAGATGTTACTTTTCATTTGATGGAGATCAAGAATCAAATTCACCTCAATTAATACAATGATTTCAAAGGATGTTAAAATTGGGCTGCATTGTTTTTGAAACAAAATGTATAATGTGTATCGGGGAAAGGAAATAAAATGTCACTGGAATAATAGAGCAATTAAGTAACACGGCTATTGTTGCATCTTCACAAATTTATATGCCATCGCCCTGCTCTGCGCCAGGTTCCATTAGCCACTGTCACAGGAACCACCAGAAGTCAGGATCTGCAGTCTATAGCTCTACAGCTCGGGCTCTGCCCTAAACCTACTTGAGAGATTCGGAACAGAGACAGACAGGGTTTGGACAATGGCAATGCTATCTGAGGAAAGTATCCCTGACCTAAATCAACAAACAGTAAATGCGTCATCATTCATTATAACTTTTACCTCTTGAGGAAGCTCTAGTTTGGAACGGTCAGTTCCTTCTTTTGACTGAAGACCCATCAGATAAGGGACAGGAGCATCAAGAAAATGTAGCAGAGAAGCAGGGAGGATGGGCACATATACATGCTGCCACTGAAATGGGAACAAGAGTGTGGTGATGCCTTCCGCCACAGTCATCAGGCGTTGGTAATCTGCACAGAACAAGGAAACACGGAGGGGAAGATTCCAAGTAAAAACACAGTCATGGCATTGAGCTTGAAAGTATCAATTTCCAAAAAAAATTCTTATGCTAATAGAATCTTTTTTTATGACCACACAGAAAATAGGTCACTTCTATCCCGCCATAATTAAAGAGTTAAAAGGTTTCATTTGAGTGGTTTTAAGAGAAGATGGATAGGTGGGACACATCATCATATTCTTTGCTTCTGACATCACTGATGTGTGAGTTTACATTCCCTTGAAATGTGGAGGAAAACAAGAACTAAGTGAACTGGCTCTTGGCACTTCTCTCATTAAAAGTGTACCAGAATATAGCTACTGATCACTTCTTGTATACACGTACATCTATATAATCCCCAAATTCAAAGGCTTTTATTTCTTGTAGTAGAGGCTCAGTGCACGAAATTCGTGCACAAAATTCATGCACGGAGGGTGTGTATGTCCCTCAGTCCAGCCTGCACCCTCTCCAATCTGGACATCCCTTTCACAATCCAGGGCTGCTGGCTCCCAACCGCTCGCCTGCCTGCCTGATTGCCCCTAACCACTTCTGCCTCCTAGTCTGATCACCTCCTAACCACTCGCCTGCCAGCCTGATCAATGCTTAACTGTTCCCCTGCCGGCCTGATTATCCCCAAATGCCCTCCCCTGCTGGCCTGATCACCTGCACCTGCCCTCCCCTGCCAGCCTGGTCACCTCTAAATGTCCTCCCCTGCAAGCCTGGTCCCCCTCAACTGCCCTCCACTCAAGTCCTGGCCACCCCCAACTGCCCTCCCCTGAAGGTGGTTGCCTCCAACTGCCCTCCCTTCCAGGCCTGGTTGTCCCCAACTGCCCTCCTTTGCCAGCCCAGTTACCCCTAACTGCCCTCCCTACATGACTGATGACCCCCAATTGTCATCCCTTGCAGGCCTGGTCCCTCCCAACTGCCTGCCCCTGCTGGCCTGGTAACCCCCAACTACCCTCCCCTGCAAGCCATCTTGTGTCTACATGGGGGTGGCCATCTTTGACCAAATGGGGGCGGCCATCTTGTGTGTTGGGTGATGGTCAATATGCATATTACTCTCTTATTTGATAGGATATATAATTATTCAGATTATATTTTTGTTAAACTTCATTTCGTAGGTACAAGCAATCAACAGATATATGCATTTATAATCACACTTTCTATATTTAACCCCCAACCATAGAACTATCAAATCTGGGGACAAAGTGAAAAGTTACCAGAAAATTAAAGGTTGGTTTCTGGAGAATCCAAGATGGCTGCACAGGTAAACACCTAGCTGTAGCCACACAGAACAATTTCAATAAAATACAACTAAAATATAAAATGGACATTACCCAGAATTACAGGAAAGTTGACTGACTGTAAATTCTACAACGAGAAGCAAGGAGAAAACCAGAAGGAAGAGCGGAGGAGCTGTAAAAGCCTAAGGTACGGAGACATGCGGGGCGCGCGAAGAGGACGGAGCCGGAGAGGAGGGAGACCGAGTGCCTGGCTGGCGTTCCCTAGCGGGAAGGAGATAAAACTCCGACTGTGTTGGGCCCCAGTTGTGACTGCTCTGAACCCCAGTTCTAGGCTAGACCCCGGGAACCCAGGCTCATCCATAGGGAGCTGGGCTGTAAGGCGGAATCCTGGGGGAGCGGTGAAAGGAGGTCCCGGCGGCGCGCACATTGCGTGCAGAGAAGGGACGGTCGGCTGTGCCGCGGGATTGCCCTGGCCGGAAGGAGACTGGGGCTCCAGTCTGCTCTGAACGCCACCTCTAACTCCACTTCCAACTGAACTGAACCCCAATACCGGGCTCATTGGAGGAGAGCATAGACTGTTTGGCAGCAGGCGAAAATTGAGGGCACCTATCTCTCAGAGGCGCTTTGCAGTGAGTACTGAAGGACCCTGAGACGCAGGAGCCGCATAGGGCAGGGCTGACGGAAGCCAAGGCTGTAGGCTCCACCCTGAAATCCCGTCCCATCTGTAACTGCGAAATGCGACAACGAAATAGATCACAAACGAAAGAAATGGAGGACAAAAAGCGACTGGATATAGAGTTCAAATCTACGCTTATAAGGTTTTTCAAGAATTTCCTAGAAAAGATGGATAAGACCTATGAGGATATGAAAAGAAATCGACTAGAATTAATAAGGAGTTATCAAGAAATGATAAGGGATCAACAAGAAATAAAGAATACATTGTCTGAAATAAATAATATTATACAGAGTCCTAAAAACAGAATGGAAGATCGCAAGAATCAAGTCAAAGATTTGGAACATAAAGAACCAGAAGACACTCCTCCACAGAAGCTAGAAGGCAAGAGAATCCAGAAAGTTGAAGATAATGTAAGAAACCTCTGGGACAACTTCAAGCGAACCAACATCAGAATTATGGGGGTCCCAGAAGATGAGAGAGAGCAAGATATCGAAAACATACTAAAAGAAATAGTGACAGAAAACTTCCCCCACCTGGTGAAAGAATTAGACCTACAAATCCAGGAAGCGCACAGAACTCCAAACAAAGAGGACTACACCAAGACACATCATAATTAAAATTCCTAGAGCAAAAGACAAAGAAGAATATTAAAAGCAGCAAGAGCATGCCGAGACCGGTTTGGCTTAATGGATAGAGCGTCGGCTTGGGGACTGAAAGGTCCCAGGTTTGATTCCGGTCAAGGGCATGTACCTTGGTTGCGGGCATATCCCCAGTAGGGGGTGTGCAAGAGGCAGCTGATCGATGACTCTCTCTCATCGATGTTTCTAGCTCTCTATCTCTCTCCCTTCCTCTCTGTACAAAATCAATAAAAATATATTAAAAAAATAATAATAAAAGCAGCAAGAGCAAAGAAGGTAGTTACCTATAAAGGAGCACCTATACGATTGTCAGCTGACTTCTCAACAGAAACCATGCAGGCCAGACAGGAATGGCAAGAAATACTCAAGGTGATGAATAGTAAGAACCTACAGCCAAAGATAATCTATCCAGCAAAGCTATCACTCAGAATCGAAGGTCAGATAAAGAGCTTCACTAATAAAAAAAAGCTAAAGGAGTTCATCAACACCAAACCAGAATTATATGAATTGCTGAAGGGGGTTCTTTCAGAAGAGAAAGTAAATAAAGATAAAAATTATGAACAACAAATACGTATCTATCAACAAGTGAATCTAAAAACCAAGGAAATTTAAAAAATCCGATGAACAATATTAACTGTTGAATATAATAGAATCAGAGGTATGGAAGGGGAGTGAACTGACGATTCTTGGGGAAAAGGGGAGAGGGGGATGTGGGAAGAGACTGAACATAAACTGTGCACCTATGGATGAGGACAATGGGGAGTGGGGAAAGGGCAGAGGGTGGGGTGGGAACCTAGTGGAGGGGAGCAATGGTGGTGGTGGGGGAAAGGAACATTTGTAATAATATGAACAATAAAAACTTATTAAAAAATAAATAAAGGTTGGTTTTTATTTTATTTTATTTTATTTTATTTTATTGTGTTTTGTTTACATGAACTAATTTATCAAAACTAAAAACTGTCTACAATATTAAAGTATCCTTTCTCCCTAATTCTGAGATATAGTTGACATATAACACTATTAGTTTTATAATTACATGATGATTTGATGTGTCTATATATTGCAAAATGATATCATTAGTTAATATTTATCACCTCACATAATTACAAATAAACTATCCTTTTAAATCACTGTCATTGATGCTTTATATAAGTTTTATTAAAATGAAAGGTTAAAGACGAAGAGAATCCTAAAAGCAGCAAGAGAAAAGCAGTTAGTTACCTATAAGGGAGTTCCCATAAGACTGTCATCTGATTTCTCAACATAAACTATGCAGGCCAGAAGGGAATGGCACAAAATATTCCAAGTGATGAGAAGCAAGGACCTACAACCAAGATTACTCTATCCAACAAAGCTATCATTTTGAATTGAAGGATAGATAAAAAGAGCTTCCAGATAAGAAAAAGGTAAAGGAGTTCATCACTGCCAAACCAGTATTATATGAAATATTAAAGGGTCTTCTTTCAGAAGAAGAAGAAAAAGATATGAACAGTAAAATGGCAACAAATATGTACCTATCAACAACTGAATCTTAAAAACAAAATAAATCAATAAGCAGACTAGAAACAGACTCACAAGATAAGAGAGAAAGTTGATAGTTGCCAAATGGGATGGGGGTAGTAGGGATGGTAAAAGGGGTGAAGGGATTAAGAACTACAAATCTGTAGTTCCAGAATGGTCATGGTGAAGTATAGGGAATATAGTCAATAATATTTGTATTAACTGTGTATGGTGTTATATGGGTATGAGATTTATTGGGATGATCATTTAGAAAGTTATACAATGTCTAATCACTGGGATATACACCCGAAACTAACATAACATTGTATGTCAACTGTAATTGAAAAATAAAAAAATGATTGAAAAAAGATATACTTAGTAATCATTTATTCTGTCAATGCTCTTCAGTCAAAACTCCCAAGAACACACCTGTATTTGAATAGTTGGATTTATTTATTACTCATTGCAGAGCAGAAGAAGGCACACTCTGGAGAATTGAGGGATATCTTAGAGGATTTAGAGAAACCTATTATAGGATTTGGGCATTGTTGGATAATTCTGGCCTGGGTCTAAGGGAGTAGTAGAGACTTGCTTTCACTTGGATGCTGTCAGAAATCAGGACAATTTATCACTGGGCATCTCAGCAAATCTGATCTATAGGAAGGGCAGACCGAGTGGGGGACAAAGCTGTGATTGGTAAGGAAGTGAAGCAGCAGTTACTAATTTAGCAAGAGAGGAGGACTCTTGGTATTGGGTGGGTTGCACAGTGATCTTACTGAAAGTGGATGTTCTTATGGGACCATTCATATTTCATAGGAGCACATGGCTTAGTTTTGAGCATCAGAACAGTTTGTAATAACAGTGAGGCCTACTTGTGAGAGCTAGATCAGTTCCCGGAGATCAGGCACTGCTTTCT